AGAGGGAGGAATCTCCATCCTCGGTTGAGCTGCCAGCTCTCCTGCCATTCTCGCGCCCCAGCGTGTCAGGAAAACAATCTCACATCTCCTAATTACTATGTCAACTTCTGCAAAAAGCATAAGCCAAATGTTTAATAGATTCTTGCACCTTGTCAGAAACAATGTATTTCAGGGCTGTCCTCTGGAAAAACAAATTGCTCCAGCGCTCTAAACTAAGCAAACACAAGGAGAGCAAGGAGGTAAACCAGAAACCCCATGGATTTTGTTTTTAACAGGCAGTACACTCTGTTAGAACAATTAACCTTGGTCTGCTCACTCTGGCAGACGTGCTCTCTATCTCTACACATACACAGGGCTTCTCTTCCCTATCAAAGCAGAAGCACCCTGCAAAAAAAAAAAAATCCCAAAGAAATGGTTGATACAGAAACTGGTCAAACACACAAGGCAAACAGTCTGAAAAGACACAGCAGTTGCCACTTCAAAGACCATCACGCAGTGAAGTTACAGGAAGTTTTACAGTATCAGAAGCAAAGCTTCAGATGACAAACTGAGAAAGGGACAAGCCGAAGTTCAGACATTATGTAATGGTAAAACTCAGTACAGCTGAGTAATTTTGTGTTTCTAATACAGTAGTATTTTCCCATTGCAGAAACGGCTGCAACGGAGTGGAGTGACCATGATTTTCTCATTTTAGAACAGAATATATGATGAAATTGGAAGGTGGGGTGGAAGGGAAGATAGGTGAAACCTCAAAACCTTCCTCAAACAGCTGTACCATTTACAGATGATGGAAGTTGTTAAAATTATCTTACAACAACTTTCAGCTACCTAATCCCAAGGCATTCTCTACAACTAATCTAAGCCACTGTGCTTACTCAACCCCCTTTGGACATGATACACATCATTTAATTCTGATTTCCTGAAGATACCAAGCTTAGGTGGTCAGGGTGTTCTGTCAGTCTGTTCCTCTCCCACACTGCTCAGTCAGGGCCTTTGCCAAAATGATTTCCATGCCCTGTCAGAGGAAGGGTTGGAGGCCCAACCCCTTCCCCACAGCTCTGCTCTGCTCAGGGCCCCCCTGGGCCACGGCAAAGGGAAGGGGAATAAGCAGAGCTTGGCTACAAATGAGACACAGAATAACTCTGTCAGTGCTGGGTAAAGGGAAGTCTTCCCTACAGATGAGGGAAAATCTTGGACAGCTTGTGAAATTATATGGCATTTTCATAATCAAAGTTCAATTGCAATCTCACTGTGGATTTAAGCCTAGATCTTAGAATTCAATTGATTTTTAATCATTAAAGAGTCCTTGATATTGGCTTGCTCTTAATGCTAGAGATCACAGTATTTCCTTTTCTTTTTTAAAGAGATCTCCATAACAATTTTTCATTTATGCAGATTAATGGTCTGTTTGCACTACAAGGAGGCGGCTTTTTCAAGCTTTCCTTTCTAAGTGTTGGTATTTCTGAAAGCATTCTGACTGGATCAAAAACTTAAATGTCCATGTAATCAAATTATCACTGTGAAATTATTGGCTGGAAGGGCTAGAATCTTTTATTAATTTCTCTTCAACAGCCACCATCTATAGATCTAAAAAGTAGCTTCATTAAAGGCTTAAGAAAGGGCCATCCCCGTAACAGCTTTGCATCATTCAGCTATGACGGCCTGAAATTAAAATAAATCCTCTTTAAAGAGCAGACTTGCTTATTTGCACACTCCATAATATCTGTCACATGTAAGTCTCCTTGTATCACGTGCAAATTCTGTATCTAATGTCTTTAATGACCATTAAACACAGTATTCCAACGCCGTGTTTTTACTGAACATTAATGCTCCTGGGAGGATCCACAGCCCAGTTCAAATCCCAGGGAAGTTACCAAGAGAAATCTTAGGGACACATCATAATTACAGAGTGTCTCAAGCTGGAAGGGACACATGAGGATCATCGGGTCTAACTCTGCTTCTCTCAGGAGTACCTGACACTGAACCGCAGCACCAAGAGCATCGTCCAGACGCTCCTGGAGCTCTGGCAGCCTTGGGGCTGTGCCCACCGCCCTGGGGAGCCTGGGCAGTGCCACCCACCCTCTGGGGGAAGAACCTTGTCCTGATGTCCATCCTGAACTTCCCTGACAGAGCTTCATTCCCGTCTGTCCTTGCCACCAGCCCGACACCCATTCAGCTCTTGTATCAGTATTGACTTTTCAGGACTAACTGAAGGGCAAATTAACGAAAAATTTTCCTAGCCACCAAAATCAGCTGAACTCCCTCTGATTGCAGAGAATCTATTTCAAAGCAGATCTATTTTGACACAGTTTCTTCACGAAGGGATACGTTGCAGAATTCCTGACTTTCCAGTCATATTTTCACAGAGTAAGGACTCCCATGCATGGTTCAGTTCCCCAACCCTTTTGTTTTTTAAAAACACGACCTCCATCTTTAACCTATATATTTTACAGAGAGAAAATCTGTATTCTAACATTTTTCAAAAATTGGAATGAAATGCTTATTCCATTTTGAGATGTAGGCAAGAAAACACAGGGCTCCAGAGAAGCTGGGAAGCCTTTTGAAAGGTTGTACAGAATGGCTTAATAAGCCCATGGATGGAATATTTTAACTTTCCTTAGGGCTGTCCAGCCAGCAAGGAGACCCCTTCCATTTATCCCAATAAAGGTTTACAAAATATTACCACATGAAATATGTAACACTCCTAACAAATGCTACTCTCACCCTCTGGATATTTTAAATATCTTATCTATTGTAAATCAACAAAGCCTTAAGTAAATGAGATCAACATCCAAGACCAGGAGTTTACTTTGGGATATCTCATGCATTGACATTACAATCTGTTAGAATTGAGTATTTTTGAGAGAAATGGCCACAACCTCACACAAGACAGGAAAACTATTTAAATAAAAAACCTTTTCTTGGGGAAGGCTACAGGAGTTACAGTTAACCCAAACAACATGCTAAGTTTGCACGGAAGTGAACCAGGCCTGGATCAGAAATTGTCCTGCCTGCCTGCCTAAACTTTGTCATTATTTTCTCCCATTCCAGCTCCACGCCATTCCCCTCTGAACCCTGAGCTGAGCACTCATCACTCTCCCACCACTCTCCGCCCTTGCTGTGCTTTGTGCTGACTTCTGCACTGAACCGGACACCTCGAGCATCAGCACAACCGGCACACGCTTCTCCTGCTCAGCTGTTTGGTTTTTTAAAACACTTCAAACGTGCCTCGGTGCCTGCAGCCCTCGGGCCTGTCCTCCCCTACGATGGCCTCCACCGTTACCGCAGAGCACAGCTCCATGGTGTTCCAGCGGGAACACCGCGGCCACCGCTCGGCTCTGCCCGTGCCAGGGCAGCTCAGCGCGGGCCGCCGGGGCTGCGGCCGCCGAGGGGCTGCGGGGAGGCACCGGGAGCTCCCCCCGCGCCCGCCGGTGCCGTGAGTGCTCCCGCAGCCCCGGTGCCCCCGCAGGCCGCAGCCGGCAGCGCCCGGCCCCGCTCTGGGCCCTGCTCCCGCCCCGCTCCGGGCCCCGCCGTCATTTCGGGGCCGCCACCAAATGGCTGCCGGTGTCCCCGGGCCGGCCCCGCGGCCTGCCGGGCCCCGCCGCCACCTCCGCGCCCCGCGGCGGGCGGGCCCGGCCGGGCCGCGCTCCCGCAGCGCCGGGAGGAGGCGGGGGCAGCACCGGGAGCGCGGCGGGCGGCGGGGGGTGGGGGGGGCGGCGCGGGCGGGGCCCCGGCGGGTCAGCGCGTCCCCCGCGGCGGCCGCCGCCGCCCAGCGCAGCCCAGCCCAGCCCAGCCCGCCACCGCGCCGTCCGTGCCGTCCGTACCTGCTCGGCGGGGCGGGCGCGGGGCCGGGCGCGGGGCCGGGGTCGAGGCCGGGCGGGGCCGCCTCAGGCGCCATGGGGGCAGCGGCGCGAGCCCCGGCGGCGCCGCCTCATCGCTGACAGCGCCGCGCGCCACGCCCCGCGCGCCGCTCTCGCGAGAGCCCGCGCGCCTCACGTGACCGCGCCCCGCCGGGGAGGGACGGGGCGTTACCACAGAGACGGCGGCGCAGACCGGCCCCGTGACGGAGAGCGGCGGTCATAGAGAGGGCGCGGCAAGAGCGGCGCCCGGCCCCGCTAGCGCCCCCTGGCGGCGCGCCTTGCTCGGCGTCGCCTCAGCCGCCCCGCGGCCGCCAGTGCCGGTTATTTGTTGTGCTTTTTAGTTTTTTGATTAATAACGTTGCTATCGCTGGCGCTCAGGAGGATGAGAGGAGTGCAGGTGGGCTCTGGCGCATGTCGTTAGTCCCTGCCGAGGAGGCGGGGGCCTGTCAGGCCGGCGGGCCCAGGGCCAGAGCCGTGTGGGGAGCACCGGGGCTCCCCGGGGGATGGAGCTCCGGCCCCATCCCGGCACCCCCGGAGCAACCGGGATGTACCTTCCTCCTCTGGGCGCTCAGAGATCAACAGTTTCTTAACCAAAGCGACACTGCAGGGCTGCCATTCCAGGGGGGGAAGAGTTCACGGCACAAGTGGGTCACACAGGCCCCTCTGAGGGGCAGAGAAACGCGTTACTAAATGACTGCCACTGAACACCATGTTCCCCTCACATATTGTTTACTCACCATTTCAAAGCCCAAATACCAAGTATTAAGGTATGCACAGGATTGTTAACTGGGATCAGAAGAAAGGAGATGTATTTCTGAAACAATGCCTCGTTTGCATTTCGTTTATTGTGTTATGACAGGACACGTTACATGTACAGACAAGGGAGAGGGAACACCTTGAATGTGAACAAGTGCACAAGACCAGGGTTTGTTCACAAAGGTCACTGAGACACTGCAGCCACTGAACAGAGCATGCTGGTGGCCTGTCACACAACACAACTCCCTCCCATGTTTACATGCACGACCAAAATAACTTGCAGTCTGCTCCCACAGAAGATGCACCTCAAAAGATCAGCCTTTGGCACACAGGGCAGTGCCCACGAGGGAAACACCCACACGAACACCTGACGAGCAGTGCATGGCAGACACTGGAGACACCCAGTCCCTCATGCAGCTGATCAGTGAAACCCCAGACAGCGGCTGGTGCACTCACAGACACAGGGGAGCAAAGTGAAACCTGTGAACTGATATTAAAAACTACTGTCTTGGATTTTAGAACCAGCCAGACTCTGAAGCACTCAGGCCAGACTTCTGGACTCGGAGCAAGAACTTCTGAAACCTGAAGGAAAGCGTGATACAGACAGGAGTAAGAACTACTGCTTTTTGCTAACTGTAAGTAGTATTAGCTCATATTAACAACTGAATTAACTCTTTATTCATATCACATTAAGTGGAAGAAACATGTACCAGTCAAAGACACGCTCAGGATACAGACTCTGCATCGCAGGGCTCTCGATGATCATAATGAAACCAAAATGAGCTTTGACAAAGCACAAACACACCTATGCAAACACATCCTTACTGTGTTACCGAGTCACAGATCAGAGTACGAGACCCCTATGTCCAAGCCGTTGCTAATTTTCAAAATTAATGTTAAAACCGTGGTTACCCAACAGCACACAGCTGAGTTTCACATGAGTGTATGTATCTAACATCTGTAAAAAATGAGGGCAAACGTTACAACTCAATAAACAGGACTGAACTTAATTGAAATTACTCAAATACAGCTGCAAAACACTGGCACGACAGAAAGAAACCACTATTAGAAGGAAGTTTATAAAAATTCAGAACTTAAACTAAAAGCAAGTCCTTCTCGTGGGACTATCCAGTTACAAGTGAACTGTTTGTTTACTTCTCTTTTACCAATTCTCTATTTGCAAGAGGCGATTTGAAAGCTTCCTTGTAAGGAAGTTTTTGTTCTGTGCCCTTTCTTAAACATCACAGATTTGGGTATGAAAATACACCTTCCTTCTGTTGAAAGATCTAGCCAAGGTTGGGCAAGGAAGGAGATGATTTCACCATAAATGACCCATGAACTGGATGGGGCTGAATAAACACAAACACCCCCTTCCCTCTCAGCTCTTGTCACCAACACCATGGCTCGGGCTTCAGCTTATTGCAGTATCAGTAATAGTCTGAAAGTCAGAGGTGCCTGCCCTTGAAACCAGGAATGTAAACCATCACTGGGGGGGATCAGAACATGCTCAGAATAATAGGAGAGAAGCATGAAATAATTTCCCATCATTTGCAGTTTACTTTCAATTAGGAAACACCTTTTTGTTTTTTCACTGACAGTAACAGCAACCTTAAGTGAACAGCCAAGTTTGCTGCTCCAAGGCCTGTCTTGGATCACCAGTCACCTGTTTGCGCTTCTCTCTGTTGCGTGGGGGTCTGGAGCTGGAATTGCACCTAGAATTTCACTAGCCAGGAGCTTTCTGTGGAGCCTGACTCCACAGCCACACAGCTGTCAATCATAGTCTATTTTAACCTTTGTAATAGCGTTCAGGTTTGTTTTTTCGCCGCTGCTCCTCCCGTGAACAGAAGTCAAATGCTTTTTGAGAGCAGACTTGTGCTTGAAGTCCATGTCGCAGCAGTGGCACTTGTAGGGCCTGTCCCCGCTGTGGATGTTGAGGTGGTCCTGGAGTGTGCTCTTGGCAGTGAAAGTCTTGAGGCACACCATGCACTGGAAGGGCCGGATCCCCATGTGCCCCCGGATGTGTCTGTTGAGATTCTTTTTCTGGGTGAATGTTTTGCCGCACTGCAAACACAGGAAGAGTTTGTGCATTTTGAGATGTCTGAGATAGTTCTCCAGGTGCAGGAACCCCCTCGGACACTTGGGACACTGGTGCCTCCATGAGCTGCCAGAATCCTCCAGGCTCTGGAACCCGTTCACCCCACTGGAAGTTCCTTCTGGGTTGTCACTGACAAAAGCCTGAAAGTGATTTCCTGACATTTCTGTATTTCTGCTTTCAACTGTAGAGTTTATCAAAGAGTGCTGGGTTTCTGGGAAATACAAATTCGTTTTAGAGGAAGTGCAAGGCTGAGGAAAATGATCATTTTCTACATTTGGTACACTCATGGAATCCATTCTGAAGATACAGATTTCATCATCCTTATACCCGATTTCCACCGTTGATATTTCTGGGGATTTTGTGTCCTTCCTTTCCGACACCAAGCTCTGAGCCGCGGACCGTGGGCCATCCCCCTCCTCCTGCTTCACCGGGTACTCTTCATTCTCTGGGCTGTCTTCAGAGATCTCAATTATTTCACAGTCTTTATCTAAAGCCTCATCCCCGTTCCTCAGTTCAGCATCTGAGGAGTGGCACCCCTCTGCAGCCTGGGCACAGCTCTCCATGGAGGCATCGATCTCCAAGTACTTGGACAAAGCCTCGGTGCACTTCTCCACGATGTGAACCATCTGCAGGTAACTCGCGGCCGTCAGGTACTTCAGCAGCTCCTTCCTCTTGACTTCCAGCGCGCCCGTGTAGCAGGACAGCAGCAGCTTCCTGCCCACCTCTGCGCTCTGCAGGATGGTGATCCGCACCTGCCGGGACTGGTTGAGCAGGAACTGGTCCCGCATGAAGGTGGAGCAGGCGGCGAAGATCACCTTGTGCCCCTGGAACTCCGTGTCGTTGATGTAGATGGACACGTCGCAGAAGAGGTTCTGCTGCCGCAGGAGGTTCATCTTCTGCAGCACGGCATCGCCCTGCTGCTCGAACTGGAAGTGCAGCACCTCCGAGTCCGCCGCCATGGCGGGACCCGCGGCCGCCGCCGGAGCGACTCCCCGGGCGATGCCCACCCGCGCCCGCCGCCCGGGGCTCAGGGCCCGCTGTCCCGGGCTCAGGACCCGCCGTCCGGGGCTCCCGGCCCGCCCGCTCTCCCCGCTCCCGGCCGGTCCCTAGCCCTGCGCGCTCCCCCCGGTGCCGCAGCGCCCCGGAACCGCTTCCCCGCCCGCCCCTTCCGCCCGCCCGCCCCGCCCGCGCCGGCAAGGAGAGGCGGCGGCACACAGAGTTAGCAGCACGTTTATTAGAAGACTTGGCACTGCTACAGCGGCTGCCGCCGGGGGACACCGCACCGGCACCGGGAGAGGTAGCGACGCGTCGGCCCCCGTAAGGCATCCCGGGGGCGGCGGCCGGGGCTCCTCCTCGCCGCCAGCCGGGACGTGCCGGGAGGACGGAGAACCGCCGCCCGGACGAGCTGCTGGCTGCTCCCCGCCTGCTTTGGTTATCACACGTAGTGTAAGACTTTTGCCCAGTCACTGAAGAGGTAGCTAATGCTCAGTCCATCGATTATACAATCTCAAAGGAAAAATGTCCTGCCTTCTTCTCACCCCTTGCCAAGTCAGGAGGCACCACTCTTTCCCCCTCTTAAAAAAAAAATCAACATTTAGCATGACTTTAGAATTCTCTCAACAGTTTCGGTTTGTATCACATTTTGATTCTCCCTCCTCGCCTTTACTCCTCCCAATGACTCCAGAACCAAAATCAGCCCCACACAATTAATTTGTCAGTTATTTCAACAACAGTTCAGCGGCAGCTAAGTTTTGCCAAAAAGCCAGGGGAGAAAAAAGACTGACACTTCAATTTTAGCAGTAACTAACTTGCAAAACCTGTGTTCTAAAAGAAAAATAAATTAAGGAAACACTCGTCCCTGATCTATGCAGGAGGCTGTGCAGCTGCAGCGGGTACTACAGAAACACGTGCTACACAAGCTACAGCCACTCAGAGAAGTGGTGAGCCCAAACCTCTGGCAAACCTAAGAGTTCTAAGAATTCCTTCTTCTATATAAAATAAATAAATAAAATGCCAACATAAAAAAAAAAATCCTAATATATTGAGGAATTATTAAAATATTTTTGTAATAGACTTCAGTTACTTTTAGGATATGCAGGAAGTTGTACAGCACATTAACTTGTGAGACTATCCACTTACCAGCAAATAGTATTCTACACAGTAACACACAGATTATGATAACTGCCATAGTCCTCATCTGAATATGCAGCATCAGTAGCAACAACCAATGGATCTAGTCTTTCACTACTCGGGACATTGCAATGAAGACAACATTTTACATACATGGACAATTAAGTTCATATTCTTCTATAACCGAGCTGCCTCTGCGTATTCCATTTACAGTAATTCTCACTCCATTTGAATCTGTAATTCAGAGAAAAAGCATTAACCACATTTTTCTTTCCTAGTACCTCTTCTATACTCGTCTTTCCATATAGGGGCAGATCTCAGATGAACTCTACCACCAGTGCCCTTAGATCTCCTGTGTTTCTGGAGTCATGCAGCCATCTCCTCCATAAATCTTTTGGTCTGCACCCTTTTGGCAGGCTGAAAGCACAGACCATAGCAGAAGTCACTTTTCATCCAACAGATGTGTCCCCTTTCATTGACCAAAGTCTTCTGCATTTCTGCTTTTTCCGAATGACAACAGCAGCCTTTAAATGAACCACCAGCAGTCTTGGCCTTCTCAGACATTCAAATCACCACAGCACAGGGCAGATTAGAAACCTATACATCTTGCCCAAATAACTTCTTGTTGTTTCTTAGGAAACCCCTTGTTTCTTCATATCAGCTTCAGATCACCAACAGCTACTTCAACAAGCTGTATTTTCCTCACAGTAATATTACAGCTTCATAAATCCACAAAAAAAAAACAATACTTCCCAGATAGACAAAGCTTTGAATACTGTCCATTTTGCTGCCACTTTCTAGCATTTGTACAGTTTTATTCCTTTCTCTGGCAGAAGGCCATTTTCTTTTTCATGTCCATATTCGTATTGGGTCGGATTGTTCACTAGTACCTTCCAGCACGTTGACCTGGCTCTGCAAGCTCCTGTTCTCCACGTCTATCTTCATTTTGACATTAGTGCTGTAACTTTTTCCATTCAGTGAATAAGGTTATCCAAATGTTTGCACAATACAGGAGATTCCGCCTGAAGGCAGAACGCAAGTGTCAGATGCAACTGTCACGGTTAAATTTAGCTCAAAACAATTCTGAAAGCAGGTGGCTTTAAGAGGAAAAACAGTTCTTCCCATGCAAACCTATTTTCTGCCCCAGGAACCTGAACAAGAATTTTAAAAAGTTTCATATAGTTAGACTCTAGGCCTAAATATATTTGCTACAACTTGAAAGGTGAATGCCCTGATGCCATTTCCATTGCTTACTTCATCGCTGTCCATGTAAGAGTTCGTGTAACAGTCAAGTACAGTAGTTCAAGAACTCAATTGCAAAAACCGATTCACAGAATCACCTTCCTTTTCTACTTCAAAGTATGTGGATTTCTGAAAACTTTCTGCAACATCAACACGCTTTATCGTCCATCAGAGAACTGTCTGCGTAAGGAAATCCCAGCACACACAGAACCGAAGAGCAAGACCAACTTCTGATAACGACATACGAGAAACACTTTTTGCTCGAGCGCACCTTTGGTCATACCTGTTTAGCTTTGTTAACCACACAATAGCAGCCTTTCACCCCCACCCCTCAGTCAAACACAACGGCAGTGCTACGTTTCGGTAGGAAGCACAATCTCAGCCTCGTGGCAAACCCTGTGGGAAAGAGCTACGCTGGAAGAAACGCTCACTCCAAACACAAAGAGCGGTTCTGTGCCCAGGATCAGCCGTTCGGTTATGGGTCTGTGCTACGCTTCAGTGTCCTCAGAGTGCTGTTCTGCTGGGAATGGTGTGCCTCAGGTACATCAGGCTGCTGTCAGCCCGACTGGGATGCGGATCATTCCACGGCACTTTTGAGAAGCGATACAGTGTAATCCCAGAATCCCAGTGAACGTGCCATTCCCGCTACATTGGATGTTTAAGGCGGTAATACAAGAGGTATTGCTGAGTACAGTCAATAGCTGATACATTAACCTGCAGAAATTGTGCTACCTATACCTCACCCTAGGCTCTGTAAAACACTAATGGTCACGAACTCTGCAGGTCACTTCAAAAAAATGTCCAAGAAATCAAAAAACTTTATGTTGCTTAAGTTCTTTTAGCAGGTATTTTTGTTTCAAGTTTAACTGACATGTGGCCCTTATTAGACATCAAGGAGAGACGTACAAGAACTAAGGGGGGAAAAAAAAGGCAAAAAAAAAAAAAAGCATGGAGTTGTTATCCATTGCAGCTTTAAAAACAGATTCTTTTCACAGTGTCAAAAAGCAGTGTATCTCCACTCCAGCTTTGCCTTAAACCCAACAGCTGTTGTGGTTTGTGCTGCAAAACTTACGGAGGATGGATGATAATTTTTAGCTTTGAAGTGTTTAGCTTGTCTCAGTACATGCACTGGTGAGTGCCCTTTAAAAATCCCAGGTATGCCAGCATGAGAAATGGGTCATACTTGCACTCCAGCCTCTCACATTCCAGAGCTGCAGTTTACCCTCAGTTTGAACAGCTCCATGCAATGATCAGCCAACCCTGCCAAATCATTTAGGGTTTCCATCTTTTCATAATGCATGTTGAGGTTAAAAACCCTGAGAGCTATTAAGAGAGCACTGATTGGCAGCAGAAGTTTCTTGAAGTAAGTTTAGAAAGGGCAAAAAAGTGACACAAAAATACTTCATTTTAACTGTAGGAGTCTAGGGGTAAGATCAGAGAAAGGTAATTTTAAGAGGTAAGTTTAAATTTAAGTATATGGAGTGTTTTCAGTTATCCAGTGCTTTAAAAAAAAAAAAAAAATCAGCTTCTCTCACAGACTTGTCCTCCTTGCTCTTTCCTCCATCTGCCCAGACATAAAGAGGCCTCTAACTGTACAGCAGATGGTTTACTTGCAGCCCACAGCAACAGTCCTTCAAAAGGTGTTAGTCTTGAGTCTCCTAATCAGAGAGAAATGAAATAATTAACCCCATAATCCACAGTAGAGACACAGATAGAAACCTGAAGGAGGATTGCTATTCACAGAAAATATCAAGTAAGACTAAGAACGATGGATGAAGACCTGCCAGGTTTTGCAATCCAACCATCCGTAGCCTTTCGGGGCACACCACTGGTCTGGGGAAGAGCCCGAACCAACGGTCTGCTCCTCTCAGTCACGATCCCCGCACGGGGCGGGTTTTAATTGCTTAATTGACGCAGGTACTATCGTTTCTTAAACTGAGCACAGCCTGAGGCAGCTTCCCTGCATCCAGTACCTGGCTGGCATCAGCCTGCTGACAGACCTTACTGTCTGTAGCAGCGCTGCACGTGAACGAGTCGAAGTCCACCGTTATGTCTTGCACGTTCCTCTCATTGGCATTGTCAAAGCTGTTTTTACCATGCAGCTGTTTAAGGTGTTTCCTCAGAACGGGTTTATGGGCGAAAACCATGTCACAGTAGTTACACTTGTGGGGCTTGTCCCCACTGTGCAGGTTGAGGTGGTCCTGTAAGGAACATTTCTGAGAGAACGTTTTCCCACAGATCTTACACTGGAATGGTTTGATGCCTGCGTGCACTCTCATGTGCCGGTGGAGGTTGCCCTTCTGAGTGAACGTCTTGCCACAGAGCAGACACATAAATAGTTTGTGCATCTTTAAGTGATTGGCATAGTTTTCCAGATGCCGAAATACTCTCGTGCACTTTGGACACTGGTGGTGCCACTGGAGGCCTTTGTCTATCCCTCGGTTGTTGGGCCCAAACATATCTTTAGAGGCCAGAACGATGTTATCGCCGCCGGCATAGGAAAGGGCATAGTTGTGGAGGTGGTTTTGCTCGATTTCACTCGCTCTGTTCTCAACAGTGGAGTTGATAACAAAGTGTTGAGGCTCTGAGGAATGCAGGGCAGTTTGTTCGGAAGAAATAAACTGGTTCTGATCCTTCTTATTCCTGACTTCTGCCACCTCCCCGATGGACTCCACCTTGATGATCTGAATATCGCTGTCCTCCATGTCCATGCTGTCTTCCGAGGGCTGGATACAAGGCGAGTCCTGCTGCAGAGAGTCGTCATCTCCCTGATGCTCCTTCAGCTCCGAGGAGTCGCTCTGCTGTTCGCACTCTTTGCTCTCCAGCGGCTGCTTCGGTTTGATGAACTTCCAGAGGGCCTGGGTACAGCGTTCCACGATGTGGCTCATCTGCAGAAAGCTCGCAGCTGTCAAGTAGTTCACCAGCTCCATCTCGGGGAACTCCAGGATGCCGCTGTAGCAGGAGAGGAGCAGCTGCCTCCCCACTTCTGAACTCTGCAGGATAGAGATCTTCACGTCCCTGGAGTCGTTCAGTAAGAACTGATCTCTCAGAAAGGGAGAGCCAGCAGCAAAGACAATTTTATGCCCGTGAACTTCAACATCATCTATATGGACCACGACATCACAAAATTTGTTTTCCTCCCTCAGTTTGTTCATTTTCTGTAACATCGAATCTCCATAGTTGTCGAACTTGAAGTGAAGAATATCCGATCTTTCTGACATTTTGGCACACCTAAGGAAAAGCAGCAAGAAAAAAAACAATAAGTACTTTTTTGTTTTCCAAAAGGCAGGTTAGGAAGATTTAAAGTAATAACACAAAGTGGGTGTTTATCAGATGTTGTTTCCTAAATACACACTGAAGTCTGTTACAAATATTAAAAAAAAAATCAAGTTTCTATCTTGCCTTCCAGTAATTTTTACCTCTTTTTAATTTAATGAAGCCTGACTTAAAAGTAGAGGTGCTATGACAGAAATTCTCCTGAAGCAGTATCCTAAAGACTTGAGATGTTTTCCACACTACTTGTCTGGAATTTAAAGGGAAGCCATGTACTTTTAGCAAGATTTTTGATACCCAGAGCACACATCAGTTTAGATAGTCTTCCAGGGTTTTCTGTAGGGGTTGGTTTGCTGTGTGGTGGTTTGGGTTTTTGGAAGATCACAGGAAAAGATCTTCAGTATGGCCCCTTCTAGGCTCCCTGTTTTCAATACCTGGGGAATAAGGGAAGTTTTATTTCTTGTCTTCTTCTTTGGAAGATCACTTCCCTAGGAAGTTTGTTCTTGTTTGATAGTACTTGGAACGAAGAACAGTGGATCTCCCATAAAACAAATATCCCTATTTTGCCTTTCAATGGTTCTTTTAAGAATTTATAAGACTACACTGATTCTTGATGAAACACTGTTCACACAACCCTGCCAGAACACTGTGATTGCAGGAAGTGAAGAAATCACAGGAGACTAAACGATGCAAGATTTGGTGAGATAAAATTACAAAACAAAGCCAAACTTACACCTCCCAACTATTACAAACACCACATAAAGCTCGAAAGGAAGCTTTGAAGTTCATAGATAAAAGCAGATACTGCTCTCTTGGGGCATGAAGTATCAGCTGGGTGTGCACACAGGAATGGCATCGTGCCCAGTGAAATGCATGTACACACAAGACAAGAGTTCAAAGAAGAACGTTTTAAGAAGCATCTCTCGATAATCAGTGCTTTTTTGGGTTTGCAGCTGTTAACCAGACACAGCTATCGCAGCCCCTCAGCCCATCCCTGGCAGACTGCAAGAGTCGCATCGTGAGGAACCGAAGACTGAAAAGTTGTGACTTGTGCCTTGGCGCACGTTCAGTTTGCACTCCTACTGATCTCCAAGCGCACCGAACGAGCCCCAAACCCCTTTCTCGGGATGGCGGCAGCCCAGGGCTCGCTGCCGGCCGGGCGGGCAGGGCTCCCCGCTGCAAGCACGTGCTTCCTCGGCCTCCCCCGACCGCGGCGGCTCCGGCTGCTCACACGCACTTCCCGCGGACCGGGAAAGGGTGTCCCAGCCCCGCTGGGCCGGGAGCCCGCGCGGCTTTCCCAAGCAAGCCCCAGCCGCGATGCCCTCTGTGGGAGCGGCTGCCCGCGCCGGGCCCGGCCCCGCGCAGGGACGGACGGACAGACAGAAGGGACAGGTACCTGTAGCGCCGGGCCGCGTCCCCGCGCTGGCACCCGCGGCCGCTCCGACCTCCGCCTACGGACCTAGAGAGGGGAGGAGACCCGCCGTGAGCCGCCGTCCCAGCGCCGGGCCGGGCCCGGCCGCCCGCCGCGCCCCCCGGGCGGCCCCGCGCCCCGCCGCGCCCCCGGCCGGGCCGGGCCGCCCTCCGAGCGCGGCCCGCGGGGGCAGCGGGGGCCGCGGGCCGCTCCGAGCCGCGCTCCGCGGCCGCCGCCCTCGCCCCGCCGGCCCGCCGGGACCTACAGGCGCCGCCGCAGCCCAGCACGGCCACTCGGAACCGCATTGTCCGCCCGCCGGAACAGCCGCGCCCGGAAGCGCCGCCGGGGCCGGCCCTCCGCGCGGTCACGTGGGGCGGCGGCCCAGGCCCGGCTGCGGCGGCGGCGGCGGCGTTGGCCGGGTAGGTGCCTTGGCCGGGTAGGTGCCTTGGCCGGGTAGGTGCCTTGGCCGGGCTCGGTGCTTTGGCCGGGCTCGGTGCGGTTGTGCTGCCGCGGGGTAAATGCGGTCGCGCTGTCGCGGGGCTCGCCCTGCCCGTGCCCCCCCGCTCCGCTCCCCTCTGCCCGCCGTGAGGGAGCCGGGGGCCCCTCCTGCGCCCCGGTCCCGCCGGTCCCTTCCTCACCCCCGGGCCGTGTCTCCCTCCCGGCGCGGTGTCCCCCCGTCCCCTCTGCCCTGCCGGGGCGGGGGCGGCGGGAGCGGGGCCGTGAAGCCGTCCCGGGTCCCGGCGGGCCGGGCCGAGCCCCGGGGCAGGCGGGGGGCGCCGGGCCCGGCCCGTGCTGTCCGGCTGCGGGTGGGGCACAGGGTTGACCCGCCGCGACTTCTGGCAGTGCCCTCGGGCCCCCGCCCGGCGTGTCCCCAGCCCGCCAGGTTCCCCCCGCGTCCCGTGCCGGGCTCCGCGGGGCTGACACGGATGGACCGGCCGCGCTCCCGCGTCCCCTCCCCGCGTCCCGGCCGGGTCGGTTGTTGCCTGTTGCTTCCAGGTGATTCCCAACATATGGCATTTCCTTGTGTCCAGGCATCTCTATTTGGTTCATGTACCGTAACCTCGGTGTTTCTCTCGGATTTTTTTTTTTTTTTTCCTTCCTGTTGTCAAGGACGTGTTTGTTTCGGTTAAAGCATCCCCAGAAAATAATTTTTAAGGGCTGATTTTGTCAGTTAGGGGTGAAAATGAAATATGAGCTGACTGTGCTAAGTTGGGTTAAAAACACTCGAAAGCAAAAATGAAGTGGAAATCGAACTGCTGGAGGAAAACTTTGTGGTTTATGTCTGTGTAGTTTTGCCTGATGGAAGCATTTTGGGGAAGAGGGGAGAAGGAGCAAAAGTACTCAGGGGAGGTTTGGAGAGAGGGAAAAGACTGAATACAAGCTGTAGAACAAGTAGTGCAAACCTGTTTTCTTATATGTGCATAAACATACTGTTGTACAGGTATGGCTTGAGCTCTATTCCCAGCTTTGTTGTACTTAGAGGTTTTGTTAAAGCACAACTTGATGTGATTTCGGAGTCTTTTGGCTGCTTAGAAGACGTGTACCTACAGGGACTGCCCACTGCTGATTGACTTGCAGAAACACTGGATTCTTTTTAAAGGCCTCTACTTAACATTAGAAGGTCAAGGACCTGAGCAAACTTATTTTTGTGTACACGGTAAACAAATTAACAAATGGAGCTTGGCATAGGGATTTCCTTTCCTTTTCCAGCCCTAAGTGCAGGCAGTGTTTGTGGCACACACCGGATGTAGCTCCTTTTTTCTCAGTTCTTTCACAGCATATTTTAAAGCTCTCTGGTTGTCTGGTAGAGCGTAACTCCCTGCTTGTGTTTGAATCCTAATGAGAGAGCAACTCCAGAAGCACACGGAGCATCATCCCTGGAGTTTGTATAGCCTCTGGCTGCACGGCCTTTATCCCTGCCTTTATCCCGGGCTCTGTCCTGCCTGTCCCAGCTCCCCAGGGCAGAGATGTGCCTGATGCTGGGGGAGCATCATCTGCAGCGTGGGGATGAACCAACCGTTCACAGTCAGTTCATTCCAGTGACATTCCTGTGCTGGGCCAGCTAAGGCAGTGTCAGCACTTCTTTTATAAACTGTGGTTTCCCAGGACCAGCCACACGTTTCTGGGACGGGGCATTTGCTTATTGCGAGAGCCTAAAATTGCAGTTTTGTCCCCTGAGCAGATAGTTCAAATTAAGATTGAAAGCAAGATGATGTTGGCAATAACTGTGAACCTGCTAAGGATTGTTAACAAAGGTTGCATTAGTTTAACCCTTGTCTCTTGTCTGGTGCCTGGTTTTGCGTACAGTTCTCATCATTCCCTCAGCTTCCAGAGATCTGTGAGGGGAGGGGTGAAATTGGACACAGTATTGTTTCCAAATAACAGTATCTTTTCTCTTTCTGGCTCTTGAAATTAGTGGGAACATCTGTGGCTTGTGGAGCATTTTCCAGGCCAGGACTCACTGTGTATTTGTAAAACAAGTGTGCACTCGGTGAGTTGTGCAGGTAAACTAAATCAAAGGCTGTAAGGGCTCCAGGTCCTCCAGAATGCTGATGCGTTGTCACAGCCCAGCTCTGCAAAGTGCACTGTGAAGCTTCTGAACTCTGCCACAAATTCCACTGTTCACCCACACCAAGATGCTAATGATGAACACTTGGAAAGCAGAACTTTGTATGTTTGAATTGAACCATACTGGATTTATTGTTAGGCTGTGCCTAAAGCCAGAGGAATAAAACAGAAAATACATTATATTTAGTTATTTCAGTCACCTCATGTCTTTGCTGCATGCCACCTCCTTGTTTTCCATGTTTTTCAATGTTTTATCACATTCTAATATTTTGGGGGCTAGAGAATGTAAGTTTATTTTGCATGCCAAGCTCTCTGACTTTGCTTCTCAAGGCAGCTTCTTGACTTGCTCTGTTCTTCAGTAATTTAGTTAATATTGCTGTATTGTTCTATATCTGGTGCATTCTTCACCAGATACGCTGGAACTTTGTGAAGTCGCTTCAGGAACTGCAGCTGAGCTACAAAAGCTGAGAAAGATATGAATGAGGGGGAAAGAAAATCTCATTTCCTCCCTAGTTTGCATACCTGTTCTCATGCTTATTCTCTTTTCTTCCCTGGAAACCCAGAACTTGAGTACATTTTATGTTGTATTTCACTGTAAATTCAGTGCTATATCTGCTGTTGACTCAAAGGTCCAAGAAGTTCATGGGCAAGGCATTGATTTTTCCAGTCACCCTCTGTTTTTTTGTGTGGCTGTGGATGTTCTAAACACCAGAAAATAGGTGTCCTTAGAAATGGAATGAGAGCAGCCATAGTTAGGAGTGCCTTGCTTCACTTGTCACACGTGTCTCCAGGTGGCATTAAAGCCTCAGTCTCTTACAGTAATGTTAAATAGAAGGTTTTCTTTGTTTTTATATATATTGTGTTTGCTTTAGGCTCTTTTAAATTCATTCTGGCAGCACTTACAAGGAAAACTTTGATCACAGGTTGCAGGCCGGGTGCCAAATATTTGGGAAAGGGTAGGAAAATAAAGGATAACTCTTTTATAAATGTGTGTAACTAACTGAGCTTTGATAGGCCTGTTTTCCAGTTGTTTGAGGTTTTAGCACGTGAGTGAGGTGTTTGCTGTTCCTTCCTTGCACAGAGAGAGGCAGGGATTGTGTGATAGCAGTGGCCAAGGGGAATTGCACTGAGAATTAGAATTTTAAATCGAAAGCAGTGACCTAAGGGCCAGCTGTGTTGACTTTCTCATTCTGCAGCTGTTTCTGATAGCCTGTTGTGTGAGGAGAGACCACAACACCTGTTTAATGACACAGGTGAGTGGCGAAAGAGGCTGGTAAGAGTCTGCCCCATTGTCCCCTCATTGTGCCCTCCTACCTTCTGTAATTTCAGGGAGACTTTCACTCGCTGTAAGGATGGCAAAGCTGTTGCAAGTCCACGTTGTGACACTGCTGTGGGTTGGGCTGGGCCAGCCGTGCCCGGGATCCGCGTGGGGTTTGTTTACCCAGCACAACAAGGAGCCTGGGAAAGCACGGGGTGCTTTGGTACTGGATTGAAGGTGATGGTGGTGAAAGGTGTCAGATTGAGAGACTTGGGAAATAGGTGAAATTAGCACTTCAAGACAGACACACTGTACCAAAATAAAGTGCTGAATTGATCGTTGCCTGGATGATCTTTACAGCTGCCTGAGATCAAAGCCTGCTCTTCTGCTGCTGTCAGTGTGGCAGATGAGTTTGCTCTGTTTGAATGAAAACAGTAAAGCCAAGGGGGTACTTTGTGTTTGAAGCTTATTTTTAGTCCGTGTTTCAGGATATCTGGCTTAGGTGTTTTCAGAGATAGGTGTATTATATAGATGGAGCAATAGGGGGCTTGTATAGAAATGTTTTAATAGGAATTCTTTAAAGAAAAGCATCTTTAAAAATAAGAACTCTGCCCTACCTTAAAGATACATATGAGCAATACCAGACAGACACATATTGTGAGTAAAACTTTTCAAAATGTCTAAATTTCTCAGCCAGTAATTCCCATCTTAAAATGGCTTTTGAAAAGGATATATAAATATATAAATACCTGAGATCCTTTTGAAAATGAAAGCAAATAATCACAAGTGTGTTGTCATTCATGGACAAACCACATCCATTCTTCCTCTTCCTCTCTGCTTTGGCTGTCCAGTGTTCCAGGAGCATGAAGTGGCTCAATTGTTAATCAGTTAAAAATAACCAGAGAGGGAAGAAAATCGTCCTGCTGGCAGCCTTCATGTTGTGTTGGTGGCTGCAGGGAGAAGGGCATGGAGAGAAAGGAAAGCAGGCTTTGCTGCTGCTGGGGCATTGTTGCTGGTTCAGCCAGGAATGGGAGGAGCTGTTCCCCTGCCTCTGCCAGGGCCCTCCCTGCTTTGGCAGGTTTTGGGATGTGCTTCCAGGTTGGAAGGCAGAACTTGAGGCTGAAAAAGCACTTGAGGTTGGTCGTGCTTGGGAGTTTCTAAAGACCCGAGCCATTGTGATAAGGGTATATTTGGGTTTCTGGGAAATTTAATTGCCCATTTTTATCACAGCAGTCTGTTTTGAGCCATGGATTCTGGGAATCTCTGCTCTAGAGTTCAAGGTGTGCAGCTGAACTTCACCTTTTGTTCCTTTCTGCAAATGCCTCTCAGTGCCAGTTCCAGCTTTTTAAAATCCTCTGTTGGCTCTGCTTCTCAGTACTGATCCAGCCTACGCTGTTCTTCCTGCTTCTTGGAAGTCTTTGCTTTTATTGCTCCTTACAGTACAGAAGATTCAGCACAGATTCATAAAATGCTGTATGTCCCAAGGTTTGAGAGCATCCTTATCACAAAACACCAGGAGCTGGGTCAAACTGTCGTTTAGGGGGACAGGGTGTGAGTGCAGCTTATGGTGAGCTCTGGGAGATAAAACGTAGCTCTTGTGTTAGCACAGGTGAGGGCAGATAGGAACTGAAGAAAGTAAATGGATTTTACAGTCCTGGCCTTAATTGTCAGCAAGTGTAGTGTGTGTTCCAAGGGCCTGTTTTGTGTGGTGTGTAGGAAGCGGTGCCTGACACAACTGAAACACTGCAGAGAGATTTACTGACGTCCCTTCTGTGAGCTGTGGAACCTGTGCTGTGGCAGCATGTGCTGCTCAGCAAGAGCAAGGCCTGTGAGTGGACAGTGACAGAGGAGCTGGAGCCTGGTGGTGCTGTCAGATGAGCCACTTTTTATAAATAGTCAGCAGATTTCTGAAAAGAAGCGTTTGAGCGTTTTAGGATGAAGTTTTATATAAGTATTTTTATGGTTTTTGTTTTTCAGGAGTTTATAACATATTTAATCTCATTCATGAATCGAACTTCCTTTTTAAGTCATGGATGACAAGGCTTCTGTTGGAAAAATCAGTGTCTCTTCAGACTCGGTATCCACTCTTAACAGTGAAGATTTTGTCTTGGTTTCCAGGCAAGGGGATGAAACACCATCTACAAATAATGGTAGTGATGATGAAAAAACAGGACTGAAGGTAAGAATCAATAACCTGGGTTTGTTCCCTATTCTTCTAAATCAAACTAACCACAGAGAGCTTAAAGAGGGACTTCTTTATTGTGGAAAACTTGACAGAAGGGAGAACTTATTCAAGAATCAGTTTGGCCAGTAATTTCTGCATTGCTGATGTCAGAGGTGGTAATTAGGTTTTGAGTAAGAACTCTTTCCATCACTACCTGTGGGTTTTTTCCCCACTTTGCAGAATCCTCCATGAAGTGCTTAGGATGAAACAAACTGACTGTCAAGAACTTGGAACTGTGATTTTGTCACAGCTTTCAGGTAGAAAGCAGTATTAGCAGACATTGATTTGAGCAGATCTGTTAATTCAAAGTTTTCCCCAATGTGAAATGTTCTCTTTAAGACATGTAGAAGTGTAGTTCTAACTAACAACTTGGCATGAATCAGAGAACACAAGCCTGTGTGGAGGGCTTGTGAGAACTGCAAGGGCACTGGCATCTTCTCACTTGCAAAAGTGCTGTTCTGAAAAGAGACCCTTGTCACTCTCTACTTTTCTTGGGGGTTTGGTTTTTTGGTTTTTTTTTTTAAGTGTTTTTTTTTTTTCTTTTGCTACTTAAAGCAGCTTTCCTCCCAGTTTGTATTTCAGCAGTCTTTAAGCACAAGTAAGGTAATCCCTTCAAATTCTGTCAGTTTAACGTGTTGGAAACTGGATCCTTCCTGGAGTGAGTCGAGTTAGTGTGTTCTTTGTGGGAGATGGAAGGAGGTGTTCCACCATCACAGGAGACTGACATCTGCTTCTTGATCTTTAAAGAAATCCTGTGTCCTGCCTGTTGGGCTGGGTGCTCCTCTTTTCTGTAGCAGCAGTTGTAACAGAGACTTTATTGAACATTTCTTGATGCTTTTGTTCATCTTGCTTTTACCTCCCAGCTGCTTTGTTTGTTTTCCTTGCATTCCTTTGAGTCCTGGACATGCCACTGTAGCTCCTCCTTTACACAGGACTCCAAGCTAATTCTGTTAGTTAAGAGTCTCAAGATTGATCTTTTGCTTAAGCATGCAAAGATGTTCACTCTTATTTTATGGTTATTGCAGAAGATGCCACTTCACATCATAGGATAGTCTAAAAAACTTGAGAATTCCTTAAACCACGAGCCTGGTGATTTATGGAGCCCACTGAAAGGCTGTAGCCTCACACTTGACTTTCTCGATGCTGCAAATACCAGCAGCACCAGTATCAGCATCAATGCTTAAAAATTCAGATCAGTCCCATAGTGGTGCTTACCTTGGGAAAGCTGCTGGGCATGTAGTTACCCCCCAAAGCATCATCTGAGACCCCAGGAGACACACCCTGTCCACCAGAGTCTCCATCCTGTTACCCCCAAAGAAAATTGGAACCATGAAATGCTGTAATCTGCAACACTTCTCGCTCCACATGGGAACTGTTCATGTCACTGCCTGCTTCCAGAGTGGCTCATGAAGTGCTGGCTGCAGGTGTGCTGTTCCTCTTGATGAGGAGAGAAGAACACGAGTGCTGCTGCCTCCTGATCATCAACAATTGTAAAATAAAGTTGCGGTGTTCCCTGATTTGGCACCGAATTTACCAGATCTTTGCAGGTCTTAAAGATCAGCTTCTTTATGAATTTGGTGACAAGACTGAGCGCAACCCGAGAACGAAGTGATCCACCTTGTGCCTTCCAGTACTGCAGCGTTGAGAGCGTGTGCTGTCGGTGATTGGCTGCAATCTGAGTGATTAATGGGAATTTCACACCTTAAACAAGCACTCAGTGCACAGTCTGAATTCTCCCACATGGGGACCTTCCTGTTAACCGCCTTCCCTCTGCTTAAGGAGGTGGAAACTTTTAGCAGAGGAAACAGGAAGACTTTTTGGCCATTTTTCAGGACAGAAATGTTGGTATTTTGGTGTTGTTCTACGAGAAAAAAGATGTTCTGCCATAACAAATGGCTTTGATTTTGGTTTTGGTTTTTTTTTTCCCCTCAGCTTGCAGTCACTTAGTAGCCAGTAAGCAGAGTAGAGAAGGTTGTCAGAGGTATGTTGAAAGTACTCTTACTGCAACATCTAAAAGTGTTTCAGTAGTATATGAAACATTAATGTTAACAGTACAACATGAGAACTGAGGTTATGTATTTCATAGGAACAAACAAGGTGGTTTTTTTCAGGCAGAAGCAATTGCTTTGGTACCTATAACGAAGTTAATTTGTCTATGTCAAAGCCATTTGCTTTGATGTGCCCTCTAAGAAAAGCAGTAAAATGAGTTCAGGTTCCTCCTTGAGCAGGTGTCTCTTTCTGGTGTTCTGTTTCTTCAGAGGAGCAGATTGAAGATGTTTCATTTGCTAATGAGCACAGGCTGAGGATGGTGCTGGAAGCTCAGGCTTGTGTTTGCTGAGTGTGACAGGCTGTGGCATTTGTACATTAGGCCTAAGGCTCTCATTTCAAATTTGCTGATATGCTGTAGTTCTAAGTAATAATGCTGTGAAGTAATGTAAATTTTTGTTTTTCTTTTTTCTTTCTCGAGTCCAGACAGAAAAATATTTCTTCTGAATACAATCAGGAACCATATTTTTCCTCAGTTGGTCTTAATTTATAAATGTGTTTCTGCTTTTTGTCAGTGCTGAAATACTTAGTTCAGTTTCAAAAGGGGTTGTCAGTGATTGTTTTCCAGAAATACAGTTTGCTAGCTGTCTCTGCTTTCCAGTATTGTTTCTGTGGCTGCTTTTGCCCCCTGGCAGTGGGACTGGACTGGATTCAGGAAAGCTTTTGCAGCACAGTGTAGAGCAGGAGTTGTTGAACTACCCAGTGCAGCGAGACCTCTCCCAGCAGCTGGTTTGCACTTGATTTTTGGGGCTGTGAGAACAGGACTCCTAAAGTCCAAAAGTGTACTTACTCTGTCTTCCAGAATTCTTTTTTGAGGGTAGTCTGGGCTGACAAGGAAGGCTTTCTTGGGGAGATTATTTTAAATTGCTTTTTAAATGAAGGTTTTGATGATGAGGTTTTAGAATATCTACGAGATGGATTTTTTTTCTTTTTACGGGCCATTATAATTCATTCGTTATATTTTGTTGCAAAACATATAAACTTCATACATTAAAGCAACATGATGCATCTTCCATCATCATCATCTGTCTGCTGGATGCCTGCAAAGACCTGAATAATAAACCTGACACTTAAAAGCTTTCCGCCTTTGATGGCCCCGTGCTTGTGCAAGGTTCTTCACTGTTTCCACAGTGAATCATGCAAATAAATACTAAAATTATCTGGAGGAAAATGAAGATCTGTGGATTCCTGTAACAAGTTACAGGTCACAGACACTCCTGTGGGTGTGCAGCTGAGTCAGGCAGTCCCTGTGTCCTGCTCCTGGCAGAGGATCCCAGAGAGCACAGGAGTGTATTTTAATCCACTCAAAAAGATTACTTTCTCTTTGAGCAGGCGTTTCAAGAGCGTAAATGTCTTTGATTTGTTGTTGTTATTTAGATCCTGCAGCAAAACAGTCACTAAGTTGTTACTTTTTGGGGTAATACGTATTTTATCAGCTTGTGCGTAGCACCCTAAGTCAGTGATCTGACATAGGTAAGGATATGGAAATGCTCCTAGGCCTGAGTTCTGGTGCCAGCAGTAATCACCAGCAGCAGCTGAAGTGTTGGAAGCAAGTACCTTTCCCTGATGGCATCTGGTAAAATGCTCTGTAAACTCCATTTCCATGCTTGAACTCTGCAAAGCATTGGCCACTCCCCTTTTAGTTGCACACACTGCAGTGTGTGTTTATGGCTGGAACTGGGTTATATTTGTGAACTGCTGCTTTGGCTGGTAGAAAAAAAGCCGTATAAATGACCCTATGCCAGGAGGGGGGTTTATTGTTGTTTGAACAGTCTTTTTTTTTGTGTGTCCCAACCCTGTGTGTGGCTCTCAGATCGTGGGGAATGGAAGCGAACAGCAGCTGCAGCGGGAGCTCGAGGACGTGCTGATGGATCCGCCCATGGAAGATCAGTCAAGTGACCGGGACCATGGAGAAGAAGTTAGGACTGATGGAGATGGGGAAGAACCCGTTGTCCTTGAAGCTTCAGCATCCTCCACCATTAACCCAGTGTCGGTGGCAGGACTCCAGAAACCAGAAATGAGTTTGCCAGTGAAACCATCCCAAGGAGGTTAGAAAAAAAAAAGGAATGGTCAATGCCTGGTGGTATCTTAAGAGCTTGTTTTCTTATGAGGAAAGGGAGGAGAATTTAGGTACAGGTGTGTCCACCAACCTTTGCCTGTCTCTGCCCTTATAATCACCTAGTGCAGTAAATGCCCAGGTATGTAAGGCAAGAGTTAACATGTGTTGAACTGTCCTCTCTTCTGAAAACACCTGCTGGACCAGCCTGAGATGTGTGCAGAACTATTAAGCTTACTTGCCTGACTGTACAAGATACTAATCTGTTTAGCTCTTCTCTGCATCTTATTTTAATGAAAATCAGTGCATTCTTGTACATATTTATATTTAAATGGAGCCCTCTGCCTGAGCTGGCTGTGAGTTGCTCTCTGCCAGCACTAACTCACTTTCAGGCAGGGTTTTCCTGTGGTATTTTGTTCTGACCAGCCTTCCCTGTGTTTCCTGCTCTCTTCTGTCATTTGGTTGGTGCTGAGTCAGACTCTGATACTTCATTTTGTGTTGGTTCTCACGCTGAGCTTTGTGTGTCGCCCTAGACTGTGAGGACTTGAGCCCTTTCACGCCGGTGACAGATGAGGACAGCGTGGTGTTCAGCAAGCTCACCTACCTGGGCTGTGCGTCGGTGAACGCCCCCCGCAGCGAGGTGGAGGCGCTCAGGATGATGTCCATCCTGCGCAGCCAGTGCCAGATCTCGCTGGACGTGACGCTGTCCGTGCCCAACGTCTCGGAGGGAACAGTCAGGTACGGGCTCGCTGGGGGCAGCCCTGGGCGCTGCAGCTCATTGCCTTTGGGACAAACTCCTGCTGGATCACCTGGCAGGAGACATGAGCCACTCGGGATTTCAGTTCCTAAAAACCAGGGGGGAATTATTGGTGGAAATGTCTGTTGCATTGTACTTTTTTATGCTGTTCAATTTAAATGTCATTATTGTGTTCAAGCTTTGCAGTAAATGACATCCAGGAGATAGTCTTTGTGATGTACTTTCTCTGAAAATAATTCTTATAAAGGTGCGAGCTTGTTTCTTTTTTTTCCCCCCCTCTCTCTATTTTAACAGACTTTTAGATCCTCAGACAAACACAGAAATAGCAAATTATCCAATCTATAAAATCCTTTTCTGTGTACGAGGGCACGATGGGACCCCTGAAAGTGATTGCTTTGCTTTCACTGAAAGCCACTACAATGCAGAACTCTTCAGGATTCATGTCTTCCGATGTGAAATCCAAGAGGCTGTAAGTTCCAGTTCTTTGTCAGATGGTAATTATGTACATGTAAACTTTGTTACTGAAATTAAAGTAATGTAATTCATCACTTTTGGCTTTCTTCTACCCAATTTAAGTTAATTATAGTAACCTCAGATATGAAATATGAGTGCATGGGTTACAGTTTATCCTTCTATGAAGTGCAGAGAAACAGTTAATTAGATGGTGAGACTGAGTTATTTTGGTACCATTTCCTGTCACTCTGCTCTCCAGGGGAGGTTCAGGAGGGTTTCAGCTGCTCTCTGTGCTGTGTTCCTGCAGGTGAGCCGAATCCTGTACAGCTTTGCCACTGCCTTCCGGCGCTCTGCCAAACAGACCCCGCTCTCAGCCACCCCCCAGACCCCGGACAGTGACATTTTCACCTTCTCCGTGTCTCTGGAAATCAAAGAAGACGATGGGAAGGGTTATTTCAGGTAGAGATTCTCTGTTCATACAACATGAGGTTCTGTTGGCAGTGCGTGAATGGAGAGTGTGAGCCTGAGGTGGTCCCTAAATTCCCTTTCAGAAAGTTTCCTCTTCTAGTTTGAATGCATCCCAGACACAGGCATTTTTGGGAAGTAAAACAGTGATAACCCTCTGAACTGTTTAATCTTGGTCATTGAACTGCACCTGGTGCTACCTGCAACGTGCCTATTCTGTTTTGCTTTTTTCTGTGAAATCCCCTTCTATGCAGTGGCTTTCTAAGCTGTGTTCAGCTGGACTGCTGCTGAGGCTGAAAATGCATCACTGTGCCTGTGCTCTCACACCCAGAGCTGGGCACGTTTTCAGCCAGCTTTTCAGAGGCTGTGGGAATGCTGCAGGAGGCACAGGGCTGCGTATTTTTAATAAAGTCCCATGAAAGAAGGCTGTCTACTGCCCTTATGTGTTTTATGTAACCATTTACAGCGTGCTGTAATTGCTGAAGTGTCTTTATTTCAGCACAGCCTGTCTGCCAAACACGCTGACTTGTTGAGCACGTTGGCTCCCAGCCACAGCTCCAGAGTTGCTTCTCTCCTAAGATTTACATCCAGCTCAAGATGTATTTATTAAATAAACAAATCACATTTAATAATCCGGTATTTATTCAGCACTCCAAAGGGCTGCTCAAGCGTTGAAACTGAAAAATTATTTAGCTCGGGGCCTAAAAAGGTGCTGATGGTTCTTGGGCTTTTCTGAAAGGTGCTGAAGGTTCAGTTCAAATAACATATGTCATCAGTTTGACACTAATCCTTGTGTGACCCTTCCTGTGCAGACTCAAACTCACCTGCAAATCGAGTGGATACTTTTCTCTAATGAAAAAGGAAGTTGTGTAAAGATTGGTGGGTGCACTCTTGGCTCGTTGGCTTGTGATGTGCCCCAGCAGTCACCTCCCTTGAGAGCAGTGTGACAGATAATGGTGCATGTTACTTGGGGAGTCAGTGTTTAGAAACCTGGTTGAAATGCTGCTGGAAGTCTCACAGCACTGAGCCCCACTGTATATAATCACAGTTTTTGTTCTGAAAACGGAGTGTCCTTGGTTTTCACATCATTATATTGCCCTTTCTTTCACATTACCCATTGCAGGGTGCAGGGAAGGAAAGTGTTGGGTGAGTGCTTTGGTGTAAGAACCTCTTTACCAATCTCTGATACTTCGTTACATGCAAGGAATACAGATAAATGTGTGGTTTTTTTTCCTTTCCTGCTGAATAACAGTGCAGTTCCCAAAGACAAGGACAGGCAATGCTTCAAACTGCGCCAGGGGATTGATAAGAAGATAGTGATTTATGTCCAACAGACAACTAATAAAGAGCTTGCTATTGAAAGGTAATTTCATCAGTTTTTTTAAAAATTCTTTATCTGTTTGATGTTTGTGTTCTTTCCTCTGAGGCAGCTGTTCTATGGACTCTCCATTTGTGTGATTTAATACCACACCCCTCAAGTGTGGTAAAGGAGAGGATGGAGTGGGATATACCCCCTGTGGGCCAGAAGTCCCTGGGAAATGAAACCACAAAGGACAGAGCCTTGCACTTCATCTGATTCTTGTCTGTACTGAAGGGTAAATTCTGTGCAAGAAAAAACCAAAACAAACCAAAGGAAGGGCAAGAGACATGCTTGATGGTTTGTTGACATTTGTCAGTGGATTCATGGGCTGTTTGTGATGTAACACAGTGATTATTTAGATAAGAAATGTCAATGGTTTGTTTATGAGTAAGCCTGGTTTTTACAGTTTGGTTTTTTTTTTTTTGCCTGGCTTTGCAGATGTTTTGGCCTCCTCCTTAGCCGCGGGAAGGATGTCCGGAGCGGTGACATGCACCTTTTGGATTTGGTGAGGATCTTTTGTTCATAAAGTTCAGTGATAATTTTGGTTACGGACAGAAAGGATTCAGACACCTCTGCACAGACGGGGCTGTGGGTCATGGTATGGAGGGTGGGGCTCTGGGCAGCTGGGTCGAGTCCCTGCAGAGTTAGAACATGACCTGATGCTTGGCCAAGGGAGTTGCCCAATTTTATAGTCACTCATGAGTGTTCTCAGTTAATGGCCTGAAAAAAGAAACGTGGAGCCTTATTTTAGATGTGCCGAATATTAAAGAGCTGTGCTTTGAACATGAAAAGTTTTTATAGCATACTTATCTCTGTAAAAATCGAGGCCTGAGAGGCTTCAAATGGAACACGGAGAATTAGTGGGTGCTTTGTTCTTATGACTCACTTTTCTATCTATAAAATAATGATAGAGAACATCTGACTTCACAAGTGTGAAGTGACAACAACCTTACCAGTATTTATGCGGTACATGCTTGTTACAATAGTGAGTACTCAGGAATGTTCGATACTACATGAATAATTTGGCTTTTTACCAGCCTTTGGATTGCCCAGAAGAAAAGGTTCTTGGGAAGACAGACAAGCTGAACAGAGATGATCTGTTGCAGACTCTGTCACACCAACTTGTCTCCTTCCCTTGCCGGTGCAGTGGCTCTTTTACGGGGCTGAGGCTTCGTAGTGTAGAGATAATTTAAATAAAAATACATCCATTTACCTTGTTTCCAGGAGTCCATGGGGAAGAGCTCTGATGGGAAATCCTACGTGATCACCGGGAGCTGGAATCAAAAATCTCCACACTTCCAGTTTGTAAATGAAGAAACACCAAAAGGTATGGACATTGCCAGGGTTATCCCTAGGCAGGGAAATGACTTCCATAGAGGGCACCAGATCAGTTCTCTTCTCCCTTAGGATGAATCCCACAAAAAGCCTTTCACAGTGGGGGATATATTCTTAGAAAGTAGGATGCCAAATGCCACATATAAAAAAAAAAAAAAAAAAAAAAAAAAGACAACTAAGCCCAGTGCTCAGCAGTACCTTGGGAGAGCTGTGTCCCAGCAGGGGGCTGTGCAGGTGTGTGGGCACAGGATGCAGGTGCTCCGTGCACCACGGGAGCTTTTCAAGAATCCCGTTGGGAATTGCACTAAACGGCTCGTACGGATTTCTGCTTTGCTCGGTTTCTTGTGGTCACTTCAGATTTTTCCAAACCCGAGTTTGTAATTAAAACAGAAGGATCCCTGTACCTGTGAAAATGAAAGTAAACCACTCCCAGCTGTCATCCAAAAATAGCGGGTGCTCCATTGCTCTCTCGAGCCCTGAAACAGATCTGTCATTGCTTCTTTTAAGATGTCAGCTGAATTACCATCCTCTCAATCTGTTGTCACAGTTTCATGCCAAGGGTTGGGGAAGTTAATGGGAATTGACTGGGCAAAGTCATAAAAGTCAGCTGCTGGGCACAATCTGCTGCTGGATTGAATGTCATCCTGCCTGAAGGACACGATTTATCAGTCAGTACCAGAAGAGATCTCATAGGTCACTGAGCCTCCTTTTGGAGCATCAAACTGTGCAGTCAATTTTCAGAATGTCACAGCTGAGATGGTCTCAAATGCCTTTAATATCGTGGTACTTAACACTCAAGCAACTTCTCAAACCAAGAAAGAGCTGCAGTGTAATTAGGCTGGATGGCAGGAGATCTGCACTGTGCAGTTGAGTGCATATGTATGCACTTCTAATGTTTAATGAAGGGTTTGGATACATTTCAGTGGGATTTGAAAAAGCAGAATTTTTATTCTCTTTAACAAGCCCGTTTTCTTGGCTTGAAGACTTCAGTTTCCTTACTCTCTAGTGGATGGTGCACAGTCATCTGATTTCTCTATTTTGAAACTTCTAAGGTTTTGAGATGTTACAGTAGGGGAAAAATGAATTCTGAAAAAGAAAGTTTCCTTTGTTCTTTCACGTTACTAGGAAAGAGGTTACGGAATATTTTATTTGGAATATTTTTTAGCGCTCTCACTTGGTTCCCCCTCTGCAGATAAAGTGCTGTTCATGACCACGGCAGTGGATTTGGTGATCACTGAGGTGCAGGAGCCCGTTCGGTTCATTCTGGAGACCAAAGTCAGAGTTTGTTCCCCCAATGAGAGGCTGTTCTGGCCCTTCAGCAAACGGAGCTCCACGGAAAATTTTTTCTTGAAGCTGAAACAGGTAAATGCTTTAAAAAATAAAGCAATAAAATTCACAGTTAATAGGCTCTTTTTCCCTGTGGCTGGTAAAACCTTTACGAATGCAGTGTTCATAATGCAACATTTTGCTCCTGAATCAAAGAGGTACAATAAATGCTCTTCAATTTTAGAGCAGCTCTCCTTTATCATGCTGATTGTTGCTGGCTATCTGCAGTTCCCCATAAAGAGCTGGAAATAGCTTTTTGGATGGCTTTGATGAGGCTGCGAAGTTGCAGAGAGGCTCATGGATTTTCCAGCCAAACCACAGAAATAAAAGGGAACAGAGGATTTATCTGGGGCTGTGCTGAGAGGTGCTGACATAAGGGTAGAGTGGGGTGGTTGTGTACAATTAAGGTGAAAAGAAGTCTTCACTGTAATCCTCCTGCCATGTTATCTGATACATCACCAAACTTAGCATACAAATTGAGCATTTCTTTTTAGATTTCCTTTAGATGAGCAAACATCCATCTGAAATTCCAAAAGAAATTATTTTTGGTGGAAAAGTCTATTTTCCCCCTTCTACACAGTTGGAAGCAGAGATTTCACACATACCCCGATTTTGCCCTGGGGGGAAAAAATCCAAGCAGCCGCAAAAAATTCCTAGAACTTGTTAAAAAATTTTACTGGTTTTTCCAACTTACTTCTTTATGCTATCTACTAAAAAGGGAAAGATTATTTTTGTCCAAGATATTCATAATAACAAGGCAATAACTTAAAATAAGGCTGGTAAGTTGAAGGTCCAAGTCACTCAAGAGACGATGCACTTGGAATAGCTGCTCTTCTCCTGTTCTAGAAATTATTGTCCTGAAATTAAAGTCCTGTTTAAAGAAATGGAAATGTATAAAAGCAAATAACAATGAGGATGTACGTGCTCTCTCAAGGTTTAGTAATTCTGGGTGCAGCCCAAAAAGAAAGCAATGTTGGAGTCCTGATTGCTTGATAAGTGTTCTCTTTTTAAAGAGGTTTTCAATTAAACAGGATGATTCTTTTTGCACTTGTCTTCAAGTGCTGGCAACAGAATGGCATCTGGGTAGTAACAGAGATGAGGTTCACCGGGGATTCTATTTTGTGTATGTCCTATTTTTTATGTAAAATATGAACACACATTTTCAGTCTCTTTCCTTCCAAATTTAAGGTGGAAAAATTCTTCATGGATGAGCTCAGCCTTTTTATTTAGAATACTTTCGAGGTGGAGCGTGGAGATGTTGAACATTTGAGGCTGTTGGGCTATAAATATTCTGCAGCCTCCAAAAGGTGCCTTTTTCTGTTTGGCAGTTTAAAGGAAGCTTATCTTGCTGAGCTAATTCTGTATCTTTTGTCTTACCAAACTCACAGGCATTGTGACTTATCTTAGCCAATTCTCCTTTTCCACAGGCACTGTCAGGTTATCCAACTTCCAGTGTTTACTAATGGAAGATTATCAAAATTCATAGTGGAAGCAACAAATATAGAATGTACTGCCTGATAAGCCTGGAAGGGAAACCTGTTTCTGTGGAGTCATGATTAGCCTATTAAAAATACAGCTGTGTAGAATTGGCTTATCTTACTTTGGCAGTGTTTCTTTATTCGGAAATGGTGAAAGCAGAGGGATTTTATTTGCTCAGATTACATGTAGTGATTTAGTTTTGATGCATTGCTTTTCATTTTTAATGCTCCAAAGGATAAAATTGAGCACTGGGAGCTTAGTGTAGAGTGTAATTATAAATCTTATTTCCCTCTCTTCTTCACCTTCCCTTTTCTACTGTCTATTTTTATTCATTTAGGAAAAAAAGAAAGTTCCAAGTCCTTAAACTGCATTAAAATTTTAGAACCACTTGACAAAGAAAAGTCCTCCTTTAAAGGAAAGGAAGGTATGAAAGCATTGAAAATTGAGGAGAAACGGGGGTGGAGTTGTTTCATATTAAGGAGCCTTCCTCTGTTAGACCACAGCTGCATTGACAGCTTCAAAAATCTGAGCATTTATGGTAGGAAGACTCCAGGCCTGCACAAGGCATTGAGTGTGCAGCTCTCACGTGTGTCAGCATTCCTACTGCCCAGTGGGGGGGAAGCTGTTCCTCACCTCTCTGCCCCAGAGTGAGAAAGCAGAGCCTTAGGAAGGGACGTGGCACTTGTGCACCCTTTGCCAGTGAAGTGAACTTGTTCCCTAGATCAAGCAGAAGGACAGGAAGAACAACTCGGACACGCTGTATGAAGTGGTGTGCCTGGAGAGCGAGTCCGAGAGGGAGAGGAGGAAAACCACGGCCAGCCCCTCCCTGCGCCTGCCCCAGTCGGGCTCCCAGGGCTCCATGATCCCTTCTCCCCCCGAGGACGATGAAGAGGAAGGTAAGAAGCAGACTGGGTGCTCTGTGGACGTGGAGAGAAAGGGCTCGTGGTAAATAACACAGTTATAAAACATGTTGAATCGTTTCCAGTCAGAATCCGGCCTCCTGATGGGTTTTTGTTTGCTTGAGTGCTCTGAGCACTCAGTAACCAGTACCCCAACATTCCTGGGGCAGCCTCTCCCTCCTCTGACTCTTCTGTGTCTGTGCTTTTCCCAACCCAGGCCTCCAGTGTGATGATATATTTGGGACAATGTGAAAAGAGGCTGCTAAAAATTGGGGGTTGTCCTATAGCTGCAGCTGTGAACAGATTTGGGAGTGAAAACGAGAAGCTGATATTATTTGGAAGTCTCAGCAGGCAGCGTGTTTTAGTGAAGAGGAGAGTTGGACAACTGTGGTAGATAAAACTGTACCAGGACCTGCCCAGCTTGGAGCTTAATGCATTTTCAAGAACTTTTCTCTGCTTTAGAAAAATTCTTTTAAACCAAAGCATGGACCAGTTCTGAGTATATAAACATGTGGCCCTACAGCTCTGAGATGAAATGGGGATGACTTGGGTTTCTGCTTTGTCACTTTCCTGCTGGCCTTCCATGTGGCCTTGGCTGAAGGGTCCTCTCTGTTCTGTTGGCAGACAATGATGAACCCCTCTTGAGTGGTTCTGGAGATGTTTCCAAAGAGTGTGCAGAAAAAATTCTTGAGACGTGGGGAGAGCTGCTGTCCAAGTGGTAAGTGGCAAAATCACATTCTGAAAGTTAGTCCTGAATATTCTTGTCCTGTTTGCTCCTTCATCTTGGAGTTTCTGTTGTTTCCAGAGGCCAGCTGAGACAAGATGAGGGTGAATTTAGTCCTCTGTTCATCCCCACAACAACCCTTATTCTCTGGCTTCGTGTTTTCTGATTTCTTCACAGGATGTTTTAAGTATTTGAATTTTTGAGTGCATGCTTAATATATAGAAATTCACTTATGCTATATCTTTAGGTGCTTCTGTCTTAAAATGAGCATTCTGCTTATCTGTGAGTTCCCTGGGATTTTGTCAAAGAAAAACTTAAACGAAAAAGTATAAAGAAAATGCAGCTCTTCCTTTGTCTTTATTTTGCACAGATCACTCCCATTCCTCTTTGTAATTCCAATGTAGTTCACAGCCAGTTTTTCTTGCAGCTGTCATATCTTAGTGACTGTAGCTGAAGAAAATGGGAGATCTGGACTTGGATAGCGAAGATGTTTTTCTTCCTTATCTAAAGGAAGGCTCCAGAGCCTGCCAAGAAGGAAGTACATGAGCTCTGCTGTTTTTTCCCCCAGAAAATGCCAGTGTACCAGGGGAGTGTTTCCTCACAGTCCAATTGCTAATGCAACACCCTCCTCCTCTGATGAGCGATCTTTTATTCATCTTGAAGTAGCCTGAGCTGTTCTGGAATGATGCTGATTGTTGCAAAATTCAGGTTTTGTGTTAGGTTTTAATTTTCTCCCCACAACAAGGGATGACAGGGAACATGAGATTGAGCTCAAATAGGCTTTGTTCTGACTCTGGCTCTTCTGCTGCCTTTTGCTTCCTAACGTTGGTGAGGAGCAGGGCAAAGGGAGTACAGCAAGTAAAGGCTGAATGTGGGATTAGATTAAAGGAGTAGGACAGCAGGGATTAGATTTAAGGAGTAGGATGGCAGGGTCATGCAGCTTGGATGAGGGAAAGTATTGATGTGACCACTTAGCAAGGATTCTGTTAAATTTAAGATTATAACGATTTAGCATTATTTTTTATTTTCTGCAATTACTGCTTTTTTGAATAAACACTTTTCCTTCCAGTTTGGTTCTGCACTAATTTGCTAAGAAAGTGGACATAGAAATGGACCCATTTGCAAGAAGGGGAAGGCTGTGGTAAAATGATCCATGGTCCCTTTTTCCTCTCCTAGTCTGGGAGAAACATCTTTACCAGATGAGCTCTGTGCATCTGCTGCTGTGAGAAAGTTTCTTTCAACTTGAATTTTTTTGTAATTCTTCCAAGGGCTCAAAGATAATTAAGCCACCTGACTCCCATTGGAAATGTTTTGGCAGCTCTAAGAGGATATGAAATGCTTCTGTGCTAATGCTGGCAACAACTTTAATATGTGTTAAAGGGCTTTCCTTCTTAACTAAAAATGTGTATTTGGAAGCAATGATCCTCCAGCTTTTAACATAAGAGGATTGAAAATCATAAAAATCAGAGTTTAGGTAGTTTCATGCTAGCTTTTTTTACAATTCTGTAATTAGATTTGTACAGTAATTAAATATGCATTGTTATTTTGTGATTTCTAAATAGTATTTGGCTGATATTTCATAACTGCTGAGTCACACAATTTTCTCATTTCAAAATAGTTTGGAAGGATCCAGCAGTGTGTGGCTTTTAGTCCACAGCCTTCATGACTGTACTCATTGGAACTACTGCTGTGCTTACTCTGATCTGAGATTAGGGCCAAGCAGTTTTGGAGGCCTCTACAAAAACATCGATTATTTTGTATGTGACAGTTATTTTATATAAATATTTATCACAAAGGTATAATAAATGCTCTGTGAATGTTTGTCTGTGGGTGTGACTGTGTGTGGATGTAGGTGTAACTGCTATATAGTTATTATTTTTGCTATGGTTGATTTCTTTTAGAGAAAGCAGAGTGAAGGAGGACATGATGGTCCTGGGCTCTGTGCAGTAAATACTGATTTAAATGCCCACACTGTTAGTCTCTAGATTACTAGGTCAGAACTCTGTAGACTGAAGAAAGGCAGCAAAGAGTCCCAGTCTGTGTCAAATTATCATCCACATATCCGTCAGACTGTTACGAACATTATTAAATGACAGCTTTTTAGGAACAAAATGCGATTGATGTGACACGAGTTCAGTTTTTTGCCTGGCTTTGTCTGTCAGTTCTCTTGATCATTTTACCCAGAAATTTGTTTTTTAGTAACTGCAGAAAAATGTTAATTTCTTTGATTTAAGGACTGTGTCTTTTGGGAATTTTATGTATAAGCCACAAATGAGCTGTTCAGCCTAACTTGCTGTAAGTGCATAAATTATACGCAGGTTTAGTTTTTACAACTTTCAGAGCTGTAATTTATGAGCTGTCAGCGGTCTCGCTGGAGAGGGCTGTTTAGTTGGGCCTGGCTGGTGCAGTGGAAGCTGCTTCAGTGCGGGGATGTCGTTAGATAACCGTGTGAGGTGGTTTTTATAGCTCTGTCTTCTGCCCCTCCCTCACCTCGGGGGTCACCCTGCTGGCCTGTGGGGGCTTCTGCAAACTACCCATCATTTGGGGGTTGTTTGGAGTTGGAATTTACGCTTTATGACCTCTGTCCCCCAGTTCTAGTATTTGATGGGGAGTTTTGGTTTGTTCGGTGTATTACATTTAAATTTATGTTTACTCTTCCATAACTCGAATCTCACTCACCCTGGCAGCATCTGGGCTGTCACGACATTGCTGTCACTTGCCGTGCGTGGTGTTGGTCCCTGTTTGGGTGGCAGTGACATCCTTGCCCCCCTTCCCCAGGCACCTGAACCTGAGCGTGCGGCCGAAGACGCTGTCGGCGTTGGTGCGGAGCGGGGTGCCCGAGGCGCTGAGGGGAGAGGTGTGGCAGCTGCTGGCTGGGTGTCACAACAACGACCACCTGGTGGAGAAGTACCGCATCCTCATCACCAAGGTAGGGCCTTCTCAGCAGCTTTTCTTCCCCCCATGTCCTAAAGAATGCGCAGACAGAGGTTTTCGCAGCGTGCGCCTTCCTGAGGGTTCACGAGTGTGTCTGAACGTAGGGGAGCAACAGCAGAAACCCCAACGGGCAGGGCTGTTTGTGGCTTTAGGCTGCTTTCCTTTTCATAGGCCGGGTTCTGTTTCCCTCAGACCAGTTCTGAGTTAGTTTGTAAAAAATAAGTGTCCTGTTAATTGCTTTCATAACTGACAGAAACTCATTTCCTTTGCTTGTTTGGCTTTTCTGAACGAAAGATGAATTTTGCTGTGTTGTCTTAATATTTATGCTAAAAGTCCAACACTTGTTGAAATTGCACCCTTTTTTGGTAGAAGGAAAAACAGAATTTGGACATTTTTGCCCTAGACAGCAGTTTAATTCCTCATCTTGAACGCTGACCTCAGTAAGGATGGAAAAGAAAGTAGGAATTGTATGTACAGACATCATCCAGTGTTTCTCAAAGTTCTAGAGTAACAAATGGGTCACAAAGTGAAATGTCACTCGTTATGCAGAACACTGATGTTACTTTGAATTTGACCATTATTTGTATAACTACATTGGATTTTATTGCTTTCATCAAACATGCACATCTAGAAGGACTGTATTAGAAATTATTAATGATGCAGCTTTAGTACAAATATAACAGAAATTAATTATTCACCAGTTAAAAAGCAAAACAACTGAATCAGCCTTTGTATATCTATATTCTGATGGCACGGATTCACAAGGAGCAATTAAAGACCTTAATTCTGAGGGCAGGAGGGCGTCTGAAATTAAACTTGGTTTCTGCTGGATTCATGCAGGAAGGATCCTACGTGATGTGAATGAATCAGATCAGCTAAAAATGTTCTGCCATAAGTACTTTCACATACTCAGTGAATATAGAAGAAACTTGATCTGAATTCCTTAATATTGGTGTATGCATTCTAGAACTGTGACTTGGGTTTTATGGTGAATAAATCATATAAATAATGTGGAGGTTGAGTGCTGTGGCAAGGAGTGATCACAGTTACCCTGTTGTGTTATTTTAATTGCCTGGTGTGTGGCTGACAGCCTCCCTTGTTTCTCTGTTTCAGTGTTTTGGTATCAGAATGGAAAGGATGATGCCTTTGTGGCACAGTTGGTGACATGTACTGCTACTATCTTTGTCAGCTAGAAAGGAATAGTGTAACATTTTCATTTTTAAACCTGTGAAACCTTTCCACTCATTTTCATTTGGCTGAGACAAAGAAAATAGCCTGGATTTCATGTGTTGGAAGCATCTCTAGAGTCCAAGTAAAAGGGAGAGAAGGCTGGTCCAGCACTGAGTTCTGCAGCTAAAGGACTGCCTATACCTGCAGTGGTCCTTCAGTATGGAAAATAATGAAGAAATTAAAGCAAATGGGGACTGACTGACCATTTTCAGGCCCTGCTGTAGTCACATGAGGCCTGTGGTGTATTACCAGCACGCTGCCATAGCCAGCTCAAGGAAATGAAAATGAAGTTTCCTTCATCTGGAAGCAGGAGCAGAGGGAGCCGATGCAAAACCTCTGCCCTTCAGTGCGAGCAGGAGGTGCAGAAAGCCTGTGTGAGGGCTCATAATCCAGTGCCCCTTCTCTCTTCATGTTGACCTCTATTCCTGTAGCTGCATTTGATTTCTGCCAGGCTTTTCGTGACCCCGCACGGCAGCACAGTCCCAAATTAATAAGGATCTGTGTTGACATCTGCTCCAGAACCTTCTGGCCTCTTTCAGGGATTTTTTTTTTTTCCCCTCGTGTGCAGGATATTGGATGCAGCACCCCGGGATTCCTTCTGGTAGTTGCTTTCCTGTGCAGGCTCAGGGAATCTCTGGGTTTTTGCTTTCTTTTGCAAATTAACTGCTGCAAGGACAGTTGTTTGTTTGCTGTTGAGATGTGGCTACTGAAGGAGTGGAAAGGAAATGTCTCCTGTTGTGTTCTACCAGTGGAGGCTCTGGCTGGGTCTCTTCTTGAATATGACTTAGAAATGGCATTGAAACCGTGCATCAAGGTGTGCTCCTTGCGTTCCAGTCACGGTGACAGCATTAATGAATGATCTGCCCTTTATTTCTTTGCCAGACGCTGGCTGGGGTTTTGTTCTCTGCGCCTTTGTTGTTGCGGTAATGGCGAAGTTTCATCGTCGTGGTGCTTCCACGAATCACTTTTGAGAATTTGCACGCCATCTGTGTGCAATAATAAAGCTTTTAGCAACTCCAGATTGCTGTGCTCGTGGTGGGGAGCGTGGATGGAAGCCAGCCCAGTGAATTAAGGTCATGTCCCTACTGGGGACAGAAAGCAAGCTCTAGGTAAAACGATCTAGACAATCCCTGGGAGAGGCATCTGTTCCTGGTAGGACTTTGGCAATCGTGGTTAGGGCTGTTAATCTTCAGGCTTCCAGCCACTGAAGGGTAGGAGGAGAGGTGTGGAGACTCACTCCAAGCATTTATGGACACCTGCAGGAAAAATAGCCCATGTTCTTGACAGTCATAGGTGGATGGGAAGTATTGCTGAGTAGAAAAAGTAGAAAAATGAGCCATGTGGGTTAAAAAAAGATAAGTAAACACGGTCCAAAGCAAAAGAGACAACAGACACTTCTCAGACAAGGTTTTTAAGAAGGATTAGTACAAATACTGAATCTCTCAGTGGAGAAGTTCTTCGTAATACCAACGTTTTAAGAACCTGACATTTACAATATTGAGGAGAAAGTAAAAAGCTCTTGGATATAGGTCTGTGTGGGAGGAAATGTCGAAAGGAAAAAACCATGAACTGTTGTACCAGATAAATACACTATATTAAGAAATTACAACGTGAGAGGGACATCTTGTGGCACAAATAAAATAAAAAATAATAGTCCAGTGGCAGGAGGAGTATCCTGGAATGTTACCCCAGGGTCACCATTTCTGGTAGAAATTCCAGGCCTGGCAAGAGATTAATTTGTTCCAGTCTTTCTTACAGCAGGAGTCTTGCTACACACTTTCTCATCTTCCCACTTTTTGTCTCTGTGAGCAGAGGATTACAGAACACAGACGTTCTACCAAATATACTTGTCTGTCTTGGTGCAAATGATACTAGTTTTTAATGAAGAAATAGATTAAAATGTCACTCCCATTATTTGACTGAATGTGTTGTCATCAGTAGCATAAAGTGTGACAGAACTTTAGCTGTGGGTGGTTAACACTTATTTTCCACATGTATCACAATCTTATTTCCATATGCTCGTATAAATTAAAAAGAATAAATTTAATTTGCGGGAGTACAAAGGGCCACGCTTGTGTACAATCAACCGAAATTAATCCCGCCACATGTCTGTGAATCTCGGCGTAGCCTTGTCAGTGCGTCTGAACCTCGAGATCCTGCCTTTGATTGGTTTTGATCACGTGGTGGTAAAAGTTTAATTATCTTTCTCCAGCAGTGGTTTTCCCAAGAGCTGTCGCTGTAACTTTGAGTGATTTCTTGAGTACCTGTTGGTTGCCTTAGATGAGGTCGTGCTGTACCTCGGAGTAGAAGGGGGGAAGTCTCTCCAGCGCAGCAGTTTTCAGTCACAGCAGAGCTCAGGCACCTCAGCCAGTGCCTTCTGAAGAGGTTTTCTCAGTGGGCTGGCTGTGCCCCAGAGCAGAGCTGGGCTAGCAGGCCCTGACCCCCAGCCCTGTCACCTTCCAGTTGCACCTTCTGCCCTTGGCTGCTTCGCTGCTGCTCAGGGCTGATCACCAGGAGGAACTTGAGCTGTTACTGCTCTTGCTTCAGGGAAACAATAGAATGGCAGTTAAAGGGAAAACCAGACAGAAATACCTCTGGGCTGGATGGGTGCTGAGCTTGTACTTCTCATAAAAACCTGAACGTCGGGCAGGTTTTGATTTCATGGTGCATCTTCTGTTTAAGAATCCCTGCAACCAGATGTTGTTGTTTTGGTCAGGCTCACAATTTCCATCGCTACCTTGTTTTTAGACATCTGAGATAGAAAGTTCAGTGTATGTTGTTTTGGTGGGGATGTTTATGATGTGTCTATTCGTGCCTAAGGATCCAGAAATACTATGGGAATCAATTGGTATGTAAATCATTCTCTGCTTTGGAAAGATAGATCATTTCTCCAGCAGTAATTCAATCATAGCTTGTTTTTTGTAAAACCACAATACCCTTGCCTAAATTTAATTCAAAGTTTATGTTTCCTAGCTACAGTTCTAGTACTTCAGTTGCCATGAGTAGAAACACCATAAATTGTGACAAAAATGAAGGACAAGAGTAAAGGGATCTTTTTGGGGTAAAGATAGGGTGGAAGCCCAAGTTTTTGTTTTCGGGCTTTTGCACAAGATGAACTAAAAATCTGCCAAGTCATGCTGTTGTCCAGCACAGATTTTTGACCAACATGAGTGTTTCATAAAATGGGGGATTCTTTTGCTGCTTACAGGTCAGGTACAATCCTGAGCATTGCAGCGTGGTTGCTTTGACCACAATTAATTATCCAGTAGGAATTGCACAGAATGACCATTATTTAAGTTAGGTTAACCTGGGGTTTGTTGGTGTTGGTTGAATTCAGTGTGTGGATTTAGGTCTGTAAGGATGCCAGGTGCACGCTTTCATGTCTGACTAAATGATTTAGATTGCCAAGGAGCCTCACTCCAGTCCCTTACTGGTTTGATCCGATCGAAGATCAATCCCCATAGCGAGGGGCCTGTCCTAACCTGTGGCAGTGGGGCACTTTGGTATCGGGGCAGAGAATGAGCTTCCAAATCCCATGGGAACGTGTTTTCCAGCATGCCACCTGTGTAAAACAGTCTTGACAAACAACAAACAATACCCATCTCTTGTTATGCCTCTCCGCCTTCGGAGAGGTTTTCCTGGTTGAATAGTGTGATGGTGTTAGCTCGTGGTGTGAACACAAGTTTAAGAGCTGTGCTGTGAATCTCTCACGTGTTTGCTGGCTGCAATGTCGTGGGTTTCTGGCTTGCTATGGGGTGTCCTGGGGGACTGTCAGGGACAGCAAGTGCTTTTGCGTTCTGTGTATGTGTGTGGAGGGAGGTGCCCGCCTACCAGGAGCTACATCTGGATTAACGGTGGGACACCATTCTCAGCTTTGCCCTTGGTGCCAGGCGTTCCTGAACAGCACACACCACGCCTAGCAAAGGCGCGTTTATTCCAGAATAGGTATTTCCCCCAAAGGGCTGGGATGGAAAAGCCTTAAGTGATGACGAACCGCGTGAATTCACGCCCGTGTGATGGGCGGTTGTCGCTGGCCGCGCAGAGGTGCCGGGAGGAGGAGCAGGGAGCATCCCCGGGTGTGTTCGTGTGTGTGTCCCTGCAGCACCGGGGTGCGGGGGTGTGTGTGTGTGCGTGCCTGCAGTACCGGGCAGGGCCGGGACCCGCGTGTTCTCCGGGCGCGGCGGGGTCGCTCCGGGTGATGCTCGCCCCGCCATCGGCCGCTCGTGGACCGGGCCCTCCGGGCGCGCCGTGAGCGGCACCCTCCGTGCCGAGGCTGCGGCCGGCACTGCCCCGCTCCCCTGGGCGAGGGGCGGCCGGGGCTGCGGCCCCGCTCCCCGCCGGGTCCCCGCCGCGCCGCGCCCTCCCCCGGCTCCCGCCGCCTCCCTCCCCTTCCTCCCGCCTCCCCGCCCCCGGCTCCGCATCGCCGCGGCCGGAGCGCACGCCGTCCGCCCGAGGATGCTCCGCGCTTTTGTTCGCCCGCCGCAGGTAGGGCCGGGGCGGCGGGGCCGGGCCGGGCCGGGCCGGGCCGGGCGGGGGGCGGCGGGGCCGGGGCGGCGGCGGGGCCGGCAGAGGCGGCGAACAAAAGCGCCGTGCAAAATGGAGCCAGCAGAGAAGGGCTGGACCCCCGCCCTCCCCGCCGCGCGTCCCCCCGCCCGCCTGCCGGGGCTCCGCGGGGGCGGCATCGCCCCCCGCTGCCGCCGGCGGGGCCCGGGCCCGGCGTGGGGAGGGGACCGGGGCTGGAGCGGCGAGCGCTGGGCAGGGCGTGGGGAAGGAGCGGGGCGGCGGGGAGAGGCGGATCTGTAAAACACTTTCCCCCTTCTCTCTGTCAGCCTTTGGGAGGACTCTCGTCCTGACTCGCTGAAGGTTCCTCTCCCTCTTCCCCCAGCCCCTCATCCGTGCTCGGCGCGGCAGCCCACCCGGGCGGGCACCCCATATCAGCCCTCTCCCGTGCGCCGGGGAAGTTGCTGACATGCCTGCCGCTGGGTCCCGGTGCACCGGCAGCGGCGGGGAGCCGGATTTAAAGGGGAATTGTGCTGCAGACAATGCACAGCAGCAGCATCTGGAGCAGCCCTGGGGACCGGAGCTCCGGTTTTGACATTGCTGCACACACAGAACCAGCCGCAATGACAGCAGCTGCCTGGAGTGGCTGCAGGCAGCAGGCAGGAGCATGAAGTAGAGCGATCACTGCAGTGCTCAAGATGAACTCCTCTTTGGTTGGCAACCAGAGTGGCCGGCCCTTCTGTCTCCTGGCCATTAGCTATTTGGAGACCATCAATTTTTGCCTCCTGGAAGTGGTTATTATTGTGTTCCTCATGGTGCTGATTATTTCGGGCAACATTATTGTGATATTTGTCTTTCACTGTGCACCTCTGCTGAACCACCACACCACCAGCTACTTCATCCAGACTATGGCGTATGCTGACCTCCTGGTGGGCGTGAGCTGTCTGGTGCCTTCTTTGTCTCTGCTGCAGTATCCTATTGTTTTGAGCGAGTCCTTGGTTTGCCAAATCTTTGGTTACGTGGTGTCAGTGCTGAAGAGCGTCTCCATGGCCTCCTTGGCCTGCATTAGCATCGACAGATACATTGCCATCACGAAGCCGCTGACCTACAACACGCTGGTCACCCCGTGGAGGCTGCGAATCTGCATCCTGACCATTTGGCTCTACTCCTGCCTGGTCTTCTTACCCTCCTTTCACTGGGGAAAGCCTGGATACCACGGGGACGTGTTCCAGTGGTGCGCCAATTCCTGGAACACCGACCCCTATTTCACCCTGTTCATTGTGGTGATGCTCTACGCCCCGGCCGCCTTCATCGTCTGCTTCACCTACTTCAACATCTTCCGCATCTGCCAGCAGCACACCAAGGAGATCAACGAGAGGCGGGTGCGCTTCAGCTCCCAGGATGGGGAGGCTGGGGAGGCGCAGCCCTGCCCGGACAAGCGCTATGCCATGGTCCTGTTCCGCATCACCAGTGTCTTCTACATCCTGTGGCTGCCCTACATCATCTATTTCCTGCTGGAGAGCTCCAACGTCTACAGTAACCGCGTGGCGTCCTTCCTGACCACTTGGCTTGCCATTAGCAACAGTTTCTGCAACTGTGTCATTTACAGTCTCTCCAACAGTGTCTTTCAGAAGGGGCTGAAGCGCCTCTCGGGGGCCATCTGTGCCTCGTGCGCTAGACAGAGGGTAGCCAAGGACTCCTCTACCTCTAGGAGCAAAAGATCTTCCAATGGATGTCACGTCTAGGACACCTGTCAGCTGGACTGGGAAGTGCAGGGACGATGCCGCAGATTGTGAAATAAGTTAGACGGGATTTTAAGATGTCCAGATTTGCAAAAAGGTTTCTGAGAAATGCTGCTGACACAGAAGAATCAGGAGCACATGTCGTTGTGGTTTCACTTTAAAAAAATGATTGCTGTGGAGGAGGCTGTGGAGTTTCACCTCCATATTCATTTTAAAGAATAAAGCTGCATCTTGACACTTACCTCTCCAGCTGGTGTGACTGAATGGAGTGGGTGTCTGAGAGCTTCGGCAAAATGCAGTCTTTCTTACAGCTTTACTGGGTTCTTTGGAGATTCGTGCTTCACATGTAAATGATAGAGCTGAAGTGGAAATGTCACAGTCTATGGTATATTACAGGGATTTTTTTAATATATGCCAAAGTATATTGACACAACGTTCCAGCGTCAGAACAGAAGGGGCCAAACAATTTGTTTTTCAGTGCTACCTAGACAGGACTTGTAGAACAGGAGTGAACAATGTGAACATTTCAGTGTGAACTCAGTTTTAATGAGCTGTGAGTGCAGCGATGTGATCTGAGCAGTCGGAGGCTTGGGGCCGATCTGGGTCCTTGCCCTGTTTCCCTGGTAGGATGCATGTTTGGATCAGAGTGTGGCATCTGCGTTTTCCTGTTTGTTGTGAAGTAAGAAGAGAAACTTGGATCAGACCAAATTTAGCAGTTAAATAAAATGTGTTTTGATAAGCTATGAGAAAATACGTGTTGCTTTATGATACCAGAGTTGTGGCAGCCACTCAAGGCTGATGCCAACATGTGAAAATTATTCTCAAACCAGTGGAGAAATGCCACGGGTTTGTATGTGGAAATTTTCTCAAGAACAACTTTAAAAATAACACGTCCCTTTTTTTTTTTTAAATCTAAATTCTTCTGATATTTTACATACTAGAACTTAAGGGGAAAGGAAAGAAAACAATTGTCTTCTAAACAGCTAAGGGAACTATGTTGTAAATTTAACTGTAGTATTTGAGTTATTCATAAGTGCACAGAGCTAAATCAGAGACATTTTTCTTTAGCCTTCATGGGATTAAAGATGGTTCAAATATAGCAGGAGCTAAATCCTGTTGGCAAACACATATCTGACTGGTCAGACAAAGGCAATATCTGAGAAACCAAATCTCACTGGCCACATTGTTCGAGCTAGCCTAGATTAAATGTTTGGAGTGCTGGAAAGCTGTTAAGAAGGCAGTGTGGCAGAATTGTTGAGTTTTTCCTAAAGAATATCCTTGTCTTCTTTCTGATGCCATTTTGGAAAATGGAAGCGAACCAAGTGTTCCTGTAACAGTGGGTTAGGTTGTATTGTCCTGTGTCAGCCTGTCCCTCCACCACACCTGCTCTGAGGGCAGGTTGGGCATCCCTGTGTTTATCCCTCCTTGGTGCTGTGAGCTCAGGGAATTCCCTGTGCTGCTCTGGTACAGCTGGTGTGTGCTGTTAGTCACAGTGGGAACGAAGAAAGCTTAGGGAAAAGGATCATTTTAGAATTTGGGGGGATTCTCTTGGCCAGAGGGAAGACTCTCTGTTTTTGTTAAATGGTGTCAGGCTGTCTGTTGTTCTAGATCAGGATCATCTTTTCAGTGTTCTCCCTGTCCCTCCAGCAAACCCCCCCCTCCTCTCTGCTCTGCTGGGAGCCCTTTGCCCTGGAGGATCCCAGCCCGTGTCTCTGCCTGTCACATGCCAGGATTGCTGCAGTCCCTGCTGCCCATCCACATTTGCTCCAGAACAGTCTCCTGGGGCTGCCAGTGAGGAAACAGGGAAGGGCAGAGAGAGCAGCAGGATGGAGCACTCCTGGCACAGCACAGCCTGTGCTTGTGAGCACTCAGTGCTGATACACTTGGTTCCTCTCCGGGGTGAGTGTGTCCCTGTTCTGGGGAGGATGGGGCACAACCCCTGCTGCTGCCGCTGCCACCTTCCCGTGGGGACCCCAGCGGCAAAGCATTGAACCTGTACCTTGATCTGCTCCCAGCATATTCCATCCCCAGCCCAAACCTCTCCAGATAAATTCCTCCTCAGCTAATCTGAAATTTTCAGAACCCAGGCTGTGTAAACCCTGTTGCCTTCCCGTGGCATCTCCTGTTGTCCTCTGTAGTAAGACAGAGTCTGGAGCCGGGGCTCGTGCCGAGTCCTCCAGACATGGCAGAGCTGAATTGTTCTGCAGAGCTCTCGCAGTCTGAGTTTTGGTTAGACACAGACAGCCGTGGGGGGAGTGCAGGGGTGTAGTGAGTCATTTCTGAGGGGTATAATAAGCTCCCAGCACATCAGCTGGCTCATTGTTCTCCAGCGGTTTGTGGGTATTGTGGCAAAGGTGGGCTTTGGGGAACAATTTAAGGGCTTTAGTCACTAATATCAAAGTGTGTGTGTGTGTGTGTGTGTGTGTGGTATTTTTGGAACAGCCTCTCAGGTAAACTCCCAATAGCTTTTTTCTCTGCTCTTCACCTTATCTAACATTTCCAAGTCTTTGAAGTGATGCAACGTATCATTGAAATAGCATTTGATTAAAACTTAATGGAAGAGAAGAATCTGCTGGGGCCTGAGACCCCAGAAATGGCAGTTTCAGGTTTAAGTGGAAGCAAAGGTTATTGCTTCTGGTTTTTTTTTTTCATGAATAGAGGGTTTACATAGTATCATTGTGTGCTAGTTTTGGAGAATTTGGAAAATTTTTAAAACTGGTAAGGGGTCTAAATCGTGGCATAGAGGTTTAATTACTCCAGCTCTGAGCCTGGAATTGTGCTTGGAGCGCAGTGGCTGTTCCAGATGCAGATCCATGCCTGCAGCTGTTGCTGCTCTGCAGCTAAGGCTCAGTTCTACATTCCTGACAGCCAGGCTGTTTTCAGTTGCCTTACTCATCTCCAAGTCTTCCTCAGCTCAGATAATCTCTGGGAGAGGTGAAAATCAGAATCTAAAAGTCTCCAAGAGATGAGGATGGAGAGGAGTTGCAGCCCATTGGTGCATTCAGGTTTCATCCAGTGTTTGTACAGACACTTCTAGTGTTGCCTCAGTAGCTTATTTTTAGGTTCAAGTATTTATCTTTTTGTCTCTGTTAATTTATTGATTTTTTTCCTTAATTTAAATTACGAGTTTTTTTTTTTTTCCTCGAAGTTAATTTAATGTTGATGTAGGTTTGTTTGTGATTAGATGTTTTAAGTATTCGTACCATTAGAGCCTGTTGTCTTCAGTGGAACTGCAGGGGTGACTCCTGTTCACTGTGCCAACTGGAAGGAATAATTTTGCCATCCATTCCCTTGTTTGCTCAGCAGCTCGTTGGACACCCTTTGTCGTGCAGCTCACACGAGGCACAGCGGTCCTTCCCATCACAGGCTGTGCTGGGAACTGTCAGGCAGCAAACTTTGCAGTTGGCTCCTTTTCATCCTTGTACACATGAAACTAATCCTTCCCTGGCCCGGTCTGTGTCCGAGGGTGCTGGAGAGCCCTGCACAGATAAATGCCACTCTGAGGAGAGCACAGAAATCAAATTACGGCTTCGCGAAAATTGGGTTGTGATGTGATTAAATGAACTAATTTTGAAGTTCCATCTCAGACTATAAACTGATTTTTTTATTAGGGTTATCTGCCTCGCTCTCAAATTAAGCTGCTGGAAGGTTCAATTTGCAGGACGCAATTCAGTGGCTTTTTTTAGTGCCATGGGAAGGATTTCAATGCTCACAACTTCTCAGAAGGTGATAATTTGCTTCATCTAGAACACTGTATTCGTTTTAAGGATTACTGGAAGTTTGGGTTGTGATTATTTTGTCATTTTCCAAATAGACTGGGAGAATATCTGGGAAATACTATTTTTTTATGATCTCAATCAAGTGACAGTATTTTTAAACTCAACAGATATGTTTTATGTAAAACAGCAGTTTTGCTGTTATCTACTGCTAGTTGCTTTTCTTTTTTTTTATTAAATGTTACCAGTTTCTTCAGTCTTGATTTGTTGTTGGGGATTCTGTACTTGTTTTTAAGCTTCTCATGGCTCAGAAATGTGTTACTTCTGGTTGGAATTGTGACGTGGCTCGGTGTCAGTGCCAAGGGGCAGTCCTGGATGTTCCTCACAAGTCTTTGACAGGAAGAAAGTGGTACAAAGTGCTAAGGCACAGAGAATGACAATCCCCAAACTGCACCCCTGGGGCATTGTCCCTGCCCTCTCACAGAAAGGTTTTACGTGTAAGAATCCTAAATTTCAGCGGTTTGTTGGGAAAAAGGCACTTGCAAGGCCTGAATGTGACGCGAGATGGAAACATTCGGTGTGTGAATTGAATATGCAGGGTTTTTGTTTGCTATTTATTGTGGTGTTCCCAACTGCTGCAGTGAGCAAGGATGTAACTCCATGAGTTGGGAAGTCTGAAGTGTTTCAGTCTCATCTTCCTTCACATCAGGGATGGAAGTTGACAGAACTTTTCCTAATTGAGGTCGATGCTTTAAAAAAATGTTTCCTAGGAACCAACCAGTGTGTGAGTACAGGAATCTGCCTTGAGCCATTGCAAACAGAAGGCCCATTTATCATTATTCTGATTACTTGATTCATCCCCTGTAGGTAACTTTAGCTTAATAAGAGGAGGTGGTGGTTTTGGAGGGCTTTTGTTGTAGTTTTAACGCCTTTTTGGTGCTGAGTACTCGAAGCACCTGCTGAAACATTGTCCTGGCTTGGCCCTTACTTTGTTGCTTGGTTTAGAAATGTTTTTCTTCCCTTCCAGGACTTTGCAGAATACAATTGCACATCCTTCCCATGGTGTCATTCAGGGTAAACTTGGATTTTAATCCACATTTATCCAAACATTGTCTTTAACATTCTTTGCCAGATGAATGCTGTGGTGTGGGGGGGGCTGTGGTCAGCTCAGACCCTTGGGCCATCAGGTTTTACAGACTGTCTCCATGAAAGCAAACAGCCCCTCTTTTAGGCTGATGAAAACAACCTAATTTCACTGGAAGAGAAGTGTCCTCCTGGCTTGTAGAGGTCAGTGTCTCAGTTCCAGTTGTTCTTTCCCTTCCTGTCTGTGCATTGCAGAGGTACCACTTTAAAAGACATTTCTGCAGATAAGCAAGGGCATTTAATACTAAAGTTACGTATGTGAAATGCCTTTGGAAGAGGGCAGCACTTCAGAATTAAAATCCAGTAAGTTTAGGGCCAGGTGCAGTTGCATCTAGAGAAAGAAACTGAAAGTTGTCCCCAGGTGAAACAAAGAAAGGAAACCCACTGGAGTTCAGTCAAAACAATGCAGTATTTACTTTGGGTCGTTTTCTTTACAATGCACATTTGTTTAAAATGTGGAGTTGAACCTTCTTGCTTCTGCTTTGCTGCTCTCTGGAGGCAGCTCCTCTGAGCCTTGGGGCTGCTGCCCCCACCACAGAGGGGTTCCCTGCAGGCCTGGGGGGGTGATCAGCCCCTCATTTGAGGTCAGGTAAAGTGGGGTAATGTCATGATTGTCTATTTGAGGTGTTCCAGCCCCAGGGAAGTAATCTGAGGTGATACAGTTTGTTTGGTCACCTTTTCAGGTTTTTTTTTTTTTTTTCCTGTGACATCATTTTCTAGACAAATGAAATGTTTGCTTTTGGAGGCAGCTTTGCTGATGATTCTCCACGCAGTACTGAGTTCTGTCACCTCTCAGCTCTTACTCCTGCTGCAGAATTGGAAACAAGCCCCAGTCTGTGTCTGCTCTGCAGGGCTGTAGTGGTGGCTGCAGATGGAAGTGGTTGTGAGTCTCTCCCATATCCCATTTGCATCTCTTGAGCTTTAGCAGTTAATGAAAACACTGACAGAAGTGATGTTCCTGTATCCTGATCCAGCTTTAATTACAGCCTCAGGTGTACTCCAGCAATCTGTGCAGGCAGAACTGACCCTCTAGCTGGTGACTTTGTAGTTATTTCAGCTGAGAAACAGGAGTTGTTATTCCCAAGTCATCTTTGTTTTGTCCTGGAGCTGTTCTGGAGGAGTGTCACAACCCCCGAGCTGATCAAAGGCTGTGCAGGCTCCGCTCCAGGACAGACCAGGAGGCATCAGGTCACTGGGGCTGACACCTGTGCACGGGTTGATAACCAGGAGCTGTATTTGCTGAGAAGTTTTTAGACATGCTGAGTGGATGCAGATTGCATTGGGCTATATTTAGGATGTGGGTTTAGGTAGACAAACATGTTTTGGAGTTGGTGATCACGAGGAGGGCTCCACCTGGGCAGTACCTGTGTGTGAGGCACCTGAGGTGGAGCACAGGGTCCTCTTGGGGGTGAGAAGGGGCAGGGAGTCCAAACTGCCTGTTCTGACTGCTTTCTAATTAGGAGTTTGTAAGATTCTGTAATTCAAAGCTTTGGCTTCTCTCTGATGGTCATTACTGGAGATCCTTTCGTTCAGAGGTGACGTAAATTCAAGTGACTCCTCGGAAAGATGAACTCGAATCTTGCTGTGCTCATGCGAGTCGTTCTCAGCGTTACACACATCACGTGAGCCAAGCAATCAAATGCTTAATAAACCGAGGCATTACTTTTATGGTAAATTGAAAAAAGTTCTTCTGGGATTTCAGCTGTAAATGAATCCTTGAAAATCAATGATTAGATTAGTAAAGGATGACATTTTAATATGCTGACAGGAATATAGAGGGATTTGTCAGGGGAAGCAAAACCAGACTTTGCACTAAAGTGGCTTAGGTATATTTATAGTGCTAGTGATTCTGTGTGTGTGTGTGTGTGGAATCTTTGGACTATTTTAATATAACGTAAGGCTTTGAGCTTTAGCTGACTCAAGTTGCTCGTTTTATGAAGTTACATTAGTACCACACTGTGAAGTATTTTTAAATATTAGCATTACTGAGTATTAAAAGTATTTCATAAAAACATTTTTTAAAACGTTTTCTGTAGATGCTGTCAAATGAATTGATGTTTAGTGTACAGAGAAATAAAACCTGAGGGCTGTAAGGTACCTGTATGTTTCTGATCACCTCAGTTTTTGAGGGGTTAGGTATTTTTTGAGGTGAGATTGTCACTAAAACCTACTAAAAATAATGGTGCAGTTAATCCTTTCAGGGGACAGGAAGCAGCATTACCTCCAGCTGTGCTTTTGAACTGTCTGAAGGGATTTGCAATCTTGTGTATTGTCTTGACAGACCTGTGTCTTTAGAAATGCTGTACAGCACAGTCTTTTGCAGGTTCCTATGCTGATACATTTCTCTCCATATGTAACCTTTGAACTCCAGTTTCTGTTGTAATTCTAGCATGTAAACACTAGATTCAATTTTGTATTCCTCTAATGAATGCAACAGGATGGAAACGAGTTTGCAACTGCTAATGATGAGCTTTTTTACTGTTCTTAATACTCGTGGGTATGTCTTTTCTTCAGGGATTTCGAACTTGTATTCGTACCTTTTTTAATTGCTCTTTTCACCTGCTGTTTACAATTAAACGCCAGCATGGGAGGCTGTGCCTGCATGTGCTTTTAGGTTGCTTTGCTGAACCAAACACAGTGGAGTGATCTTACCTTAAAACCTCTCTGTTACCCAGAGAGGCTGTGGGTGCCCCGTCCCTGGAAGTGTCCCAGGCCAGGTTGGAGCAACCTGGGCTAGTGGAAGGTGTCCCTGTTCGTGGCAGGGGGTTGGAATGAGGTGGGATTTAAGGTCCCTTCCAACTCAAGCCGTTCCATGATTTTGTGATGCTCATTTTCCCTTGTGTCCCGCCCGTCTCCTTGCGCCTTCCCGGTCAGTCCCTGGTGCAGCAGAAGCCACCAGTTATTTGGTGCATTATCTGACCTCTGTCAGAGGGTTGTTACAGGAGTTTTGGGAGACAGTCCAGCTCCTTCCCCCAGTAGTGTTCCAGCTGGTAGTTTTTCCCTGAGTGTCAGTGAGAGGGCCAAGAACAGATAAAATCCCAGGTGAGGATGTGTCTGTGTGTGTTCGTAAGGACTTTGCGCACCTTCAAATGCTGGAAATTGTTTTGTGTTAGAAGATGAGAAAGAGCTGTGAGTGTGAAACCCCTGCTAGGAGGAACTCCAGGAAAACATCCACCAAAGCAGATTAGAAAAGCAAACAGGTGAATCAGAGCCTGTCCAACCCTTTAGAGTCTCTAATGCTGCTTTAGTTCTGACCCAGTGGGGACTGTCGGGGTGTTGGGGGGCTCCTCCTCTCTCTGGCTCTGCTCTGGTTTGTACCTGCACAGGAGGGGGGGTGGTGAAGATGGGTGTGTTCATACTCAAGGCAGCTTGGGGAGAGTTCTTGTTGTGGCTCCAGAATTACCTATTTTGTGCCAACTCGGAACTGTTGTTAAAATGCAGGGCAGAGGGTTCTTCCCCCCCCACCGTTTTAATAGACATTTCTGTAGCTGATTTTTCAACGAAGACTAATAATAAGAAAAACTACGGTTGAGCCAAAAAAGACAAATGTTACTGGTTTAAAATAATACTTGCATATTTTTAATTATGAAATGGAACTAGATAAATCGGAAGCATGTAAATATCTGATTCTAGATCTTTGCATAACTATTTCCAAGAGGTAATTTTGCTATGAGCTATCAAAACTCAAAGAAATGTATTATTCCCTTTGAGGTGGTCTGTACCCCAGCTGTGTCATACATCTCTTGGCTTGATCCCTTTTTGCTGTAGATGTACATATATATATATATATATATTTGTGTACTGTGCAGCTGTACAGTCACTGCCACGTTGGATTGATTGTTTTAAAATAGGTATCTCTGTGTATTTTACAGGTGTGTGTGTATGTGTCTCTCCAAACAAGCAATTGAACACGGCAGTAGCTGTACAGTCACAGGGTTTAGGGCTTTGTACAATATGTAATTTTAAGAATGTCAATGTGGTTCTTAGCGGATTTTATAAACACTTTTCTGAATCTGTTATCAGCACCTCCCATCCTAAGAGAAACTGCACATTTTTCAGTGATTGTTCCACTGGTTACATTTTTGTCTGCCATTTGTTCTGGATTGATGTAATCTTGATACTACTACAATTTCAAGGGCTGTTGACGCATTTCACATAGCCTAGGATTGCCTGTTCTCCAAATATATGGATCATGCATCAACAGTACTAAGTAGCCTTACTGTTTGCCTAAAAGCCTAGCTAATTTATTTAATACTCTCTCTTTAAAGAGAGGTCTCTGGAAGGGGTGGCATATTTTAGGATGCTCCTTCTCTTTAAAGGGAAACTCTGAATTGACTAGCAGTACTCGTTGATCAGTGATATTATTGTAGCCAAAGGATGCATGGGTGGTTTAATAGGAAGTTTTTGCTTCGAGTTCCTTGATGAAATGTAGTGTTCTACAGAGCTGTGTGAAGAGTGTAGTTTTTTATTCTGAAATGCACTTGTACACTTTATTTGAAAGGTCTGAATGGATCATAAATACATTTAAGAAATAAATGATAACGTCACATCTTTGCACGCCTTGTCTGGGGTGACTTTTGTGTGTGTGCTGGCACAGGTGTGTTCTGGGCACTGGCTGGGGCTTCTTCCTCTTCTGCTGATTGCTGCAGACAGTCTGGAGGTGCCAGGAGCAGGCAGAGCTCGCAGGGTCTTGGTGTTTGTGCCGTGTCCGTCCGTGCTGGAGGGCACCGTGGGCAAACCCTGCACTCTGATTTTCCTGTGGGAAACTTGAGCCCTAAAAGGAAACGAACGGAGCGAAAGGGCTGGATATCACAAGGGATTCACTTTTATTTTTAGAATTGCACTATATTGCCATATTTGGCCTGAAAGTATGCTGTATCAATGCACTATTGTGTCCAGTTGCAGTTGTCTAACCATTCCAAATTTGTCTAAATTCTTCAGGTTTTTTTCCACAAATACTGTTTTTCTGTGGATGTTCTCAGTAAGTGCTGACTCCAGGTAACTCTTCCATTCTGTGGGCAGCATTCCTTGTGGGAAGTTAACGAATACATTACTCTGAGAGTGGGGTTTGTGATACTTCCTTAAGGTCTCAGTAGCAGGTGTAATTCCTCTGACCAAAAGCTCCAGCGGTTTGGGCGAACACAAATGCAGGAAAATGCACTTTGTGGAAAAGTCCGTGTAAATATTGCCTAATGAAAGTAATTCTGGGATTGCCATCAACCTGCAAAACAGACCAGGTGACACAGTATCCTGCTAACACTGAAAACAGCTAGCAAAAGACCTTTTGGGATTTTTGAGTGTGCTTAAAATACACAGATCTGCTGGGAATAACTGATCCCCATCGGGTAACGTTTCCCTTGGTGCTGCCCATGAAATTAAATTCGCTGGGCTTTGGCTCTTGGTGGATGTGCTGGAAGCTGCCCTTGGCTCGGTGGCTCTGGCATGGCCTGTCCCTGCCTTGCAGCAACACACCACGTGCTGGTCTGACCCTGGGCAAAGCAGGGCAAGTTCCACTGATGGATCCAGTCTCCAGACCCTTCCCACAGTAATCTCTGACCGTGTGACAGAACTCTTGCAGAGTCGGGGGAACCCTCCTAAGGAATAATTGCAGTGTGGAAATTGCAGGGCAGGAGGAGTCTAAAGTTTGGACCTCACGGTTTTTCCCTTTCCGTGTTGTTTTTGAAGCCAAGCTGTGTCCAGGTGAAGGTTTTATACCCCCATCCCATTTTCCCAGGAGCCTGGTGCCCCAGGAGTCCATCTGTGGATGATGAGCCGTTTCCAGCAGGCATCTCCCTCTGTTCTCTGGAGATCTCTTACTTCATTTTTTAGCACCACAGATCTTGTCCCTGCAGCAATTCTTTGCTGCTACTTCTTCATCCTCTTGGGTTTATGTGGGGGATTAGGAGGAATAAACCTGAGCTGCTGAAAACTGCAAGTAGATCAGCCCCAAGAAGAGGTTCTGGGAACTCCAGCTCTTCAGGGCTCTAACTGTGCCTTAAGCTACAGAAAAAGCTTCCAGAGTAACACAGTCTCACTGTGAAGATGCTGATAAAGTCTGTAACTGCATGGTGTGGTTTGCACATCCTGGGATGCTCCCAGGAAGATTGCAAAAATACAAGGAAAACGCCTTTTAAGTGGGACAAGTTTAGGAGGTGGGAACCAATCTGCTTTTCTGTACAGACTGACAGGATAGATGGGCTTTTCCCTGCTGGACTGTGTCCTGCTTTCCATAATTACTCACATAGTTTCTCTTTAAATCAGCTGGAGAGGAAGGTTTTGGTATAACTCCCCTAATATTTTAAAGTGCAGCAAAGAAGGAGAGGGAAGGTATGTTCTGAGCATCAACATTTTCCTGCTTTCCTTCAGAGCAGCAAACTGTTGTGAGAATTTTAATCTTCACTCCACTCGCCTGAGTTCTCATGGCTGGTTTCCATTCTGTTTTCTTTACTACTTTCTTTTTCTTCCTGTCATTCTTAGCTTTCTATTTTTCAATCCCAGTTTGTGAAGGGTGTGGGTTCAGAAGGGTTTCCTTCAGTTCCCAGTCCCCTGAAAGCATGAGAAATTGCCCATTGAGCCAATTCTCACAGCAAGGTATAAAAATAGGAGTAAAGAAAAGGTTACACAATGCTTGGATTGCAGCAGTTTGTACTAATGGGGAGATTTCAAAGCCACGGTTTTTGGAAAACATTTTTTAAACCTTATCGTTTCCGTTGATTTTTCTCTCCCCAAGCTGTGCTTCAGCTGCAGGAACTGGAGTTACAGATTGCTGGAGGAATTGTACTGAGACACAGGAGTCAAGTGCTGACCAAGTCACGCAAAGCCAGAGAGGCCACTAATTAGTTCTCTTTAGCCATAACGAGTGATTGGTTTGAGAAGCCTCTCTTAAGAGTTTCCAACCAGATGCTCTGGTCTCTGCTGTTAAATAAGTGGATTAAAAGGCAAGTGGATTTGAGGTTGTGTTTCCGTTGCAGCAGAACAGGTGACACTCGGGAAAGCCCCTTGTGTGGCAGCAGAGCTGCTGGCATGGCCAGCACCTGAGCTCCTGCAGAGGATTGGCTGCAAGGCAGCCTTGCAAACTCTTCAGAAACTGAAGTCATCACTAAGACTGTATCCACACGTTTAAAGTTCTCAGGATTGTTTCTGAGCGTTGTCTTTCTCCCTTTGCAAGACATGCTGGAGCCAACAACCAGCCATCAGTGTCCTTGTCTTTGACTTAAAAGGTAGATGTTTATATGAAATTTATTGAGCATTGGTTTTTGTTTGTTTCTGATTTCCTTCTAATGAGACAGACTCTTTAGCACGTTAATTATTATCAAATTGGAATGCTGAACAGTACTTTTGATATAATTTCCCAAACAATCTGGTAACTTGATTCTAATAGCAGCATAATGCTTTCCTAATGAAATGTCTGTGTTAAGCCCCAGAGAGGAGCATTAACCTTGGATTAAAATCAGAAGAGAAAATGAAGCACACTGTGGTAATTTTGTTGTTTTTGTTGTTTGCAAAATCCTTTTGTGAGGAGAAAGAACTACAAGCTCTGCTGAACGATCTTCACGCTGATTACATCGTGTACTTTTTTTACCATCTTTTACTTCTAATCTTTTTCCTGTTTGCTACAGAAACATGGGTTATTTGGACGGAGTAAACTACTTTTTTTGTTATTGTTCAGCTTTCCAAGTGCCCAAGGCATCTGAAACTGGTGGTGTCAGAGTGGCGTGGAGAGCAAAGTTCCATCTTCCTCACTGAAATCGCCGCTCATGGTCATGTTTTACTGAGCAGTACTTTCTGGGGCTCATGCTCAGACTTCTGTTTTCTGTAGCTGAATTCTGAGGGGGGGATGCAGAGTGGTTTCTTAGCTGAACCTCAGGGACAGGATTGTGGACAGCAGCTGCTCTCAACTGACTGTCACTGCCTGCAGTGGGGAGATAAAGGGACGTGCCTGGGCAGTACTGGGGATCAGGAGTCCCCAGGGGAAGGCTCTGCACTGTAGTGGCCTGGAACACGTGTGTGTCTGTGTTTGTGTGTGTTGTGTGTGCCCATTCCCAGATGTGTGGAGGTAACCAGGTTACCCAGCCTGTGATGTGGAGCTGCCAGCCTGCTCTGGTGAAGCAGGCTGTGTTTTGTTAAATTTAGAACAGTGCACAGAACCCAGTGCCAATCTTCCAACTCTCAGCCCTAACATTTGTAATTTACATTCTTTTGATGCGTTTCAATTTACATATTATGTTCTTTTTCTGACAGGAGTCTCCACAAGACAGTGCCATCACCCGAGACATCAATCGAACGTTCCCTGCTCATGATTATTTTAAAGATACTGGGGGGGATGGCCAGGACTCCCTGTACAAAATATGCAAGGTATTCTTTAAATTCTTCTTGGTAGCTTGCATTCAGCACCACCGACAGATGTGAGTGGTAGGTGAGAAGAATGTGGATGTGTTCCCACTGCCTGTCTTGGAGACAGACTCGGGCCCTGGCTCAGCCTGTTCCTCATCGGAGCTGCTGCTGGTGGCACTCAGGAGACATAAAACCCTTCTGGATTCCTGAACACTGAAGTGTTTGGTGCAGAGACTTCCCACGATTCCAGACCTGTCAGCCTGGATCAAGCTGGACAAATGATGTAACTGGAGATAACTCTGCACCTCCCATAAATGTTATAAAGCCACGGGCAGGCACTGAGGCTGCTTATTGACAGGAGGAACTCAGCAGGAATGGACAGCTCACTGTGTTCAGTCAGCTGCGCTGGTTTAGGCTTCCTGCACTCCTTGTATTCCTGGTGTTTCTCCCTCTTCCTAATGTGGCACCTGTTTACAGGTGAAAGCTTATAGAACTGTGTTCAGTGAGTGTTTGCTCTGTTTTCTTTGTGTTTGTAGCTTGAGACAGAAGTAAAGAGCTGATTCTTTTTTCAGGCCTACTCTGTCTATGATGAGGAGATTGGCTACTGCCAAGGCCAGTCGTTTCTTGCTGCTGTGCTGCTGTTACATGTAAGTGCTGGGTCTGCCCTCTTTAGCTTGAAACCTAAGAATAATTATAATTATTGCTCTGCTTTGCCTGGAAGAACTCCTGAACTGGGGGGGGGTTGCAGGGCTCATATCCCCTTGTGTGTTGGTCAGTAATAACGTGGGTTTAGATAGAGAGGAGTCATTGTTTAAAGCCTCCTTTGGTGTTTGTGAGCACTCTGGTCTGCAGTCACTTCATTCCCCGAGTTCCTGTTCCAGACCCTTTCCATTCAGGCCTGTACTCACCAGCACTTGTAGGCATGAAATCTGTGGGTATGACAGCACTGTAGATGTTTTGTTACAGGGTTTCAAGGTCAGAGTTAAGCTTTTTAGAAGGTGTTTCCGTTGGAATCAGTCAGAAATATGGATGGTAATTGCCATGTCCTGTGTACACAGGAGAGTGTGGGGCACTGAGGGGATGATGTCAGTCAGGAGGTCTCAGTGCAGGCTGTGCTGACTGTGCACTGTTGTCCTGTAGGTCTTTGTGCTCCTTGGTTTCAGAGGTTAGGGAAGGACACAATAATATTTTAATATTTTTAAAAGAAACTATATTATGCTTTTCTAAACTTAATTGCTGTTGATAGAAGTGATCTCATCAGTGTAATATCCTTTAATTGCTGGTGTGTGCAGAAGCTGGAGAGAGAGTGATGGTTCCTGTGTGTCGGGAGCAAAAGTTTTAGATTCACTCACGCTTGGGAAATAGGAGAGGATTAGAAATCTGTTCAGATTATTTATAGACTGCTCTGGTTTAAAGGAACATCTGCTTTTTGTCAGCCTTTGTGTTGCAAGGGGAGCTGGAAGTGCAGAGCTCCTGAGCCCAGTTGTGCTCTGGGGTTCCTTTTCCCAGCTGCTCCTCAGTGGCTGTTGCTGCCACAGAGGGCTGAGCTGGAAGAGTTCTCTGCAGTTTGGTGGAAGAGGAGATCTGCTCTTCCACAGTGGTGTAAAGTTCTCCCTTCAACAACAGTTGTGGCTTCTGGGATTAATGCACGCATTTAAAAAAGGCTAAATTTGAATTAAGTTTCTTTTTTTTTTAATTGTCTTTGAAGTCAGCATTTGGAGTGTGACTGCTGGGGAAAATAAATAATAAAAACAAATGTTGCAGAAAAGGAAATTAAGTTTCTGCCAGTCCTTCACTCCCAGTTTGGAATGTTTCAGCCAAGTTTTCAGTTTTAACAAACTCCATCTGCAGATTAATAATAGAATACTTGAGATGGATGTTCTGTCCTTAACAGGAACCAGGAACTGACCCAAAGTCAGACTTTGCTACAGAAATATGAAAACTGAATTTTGAGGGCAGGGAAAAATGTCAAAACACTGATGAGCTTTGATAGTTTCTTCAGTTTTTGGCAGGAAAGGAACATTGAACCTTCCCAAACCAATGCTGAGTTGGGATAGGTGGAACTTCTATTGGCACTTACTGATCTCTCTTATTTGTGCCATCTAACAAACAAAACACCAAATGAAATAATGTCATTGAAAAAGGTAAATAGAAAATTAGGAATGAGGAAAAGATCCTGTTTAACATCCTCTACTAATACTGCTTCTCTCTTATTTACTTAGGTGACGACGGGTTAGGCTGGTCAAAATCTGTAACATTCAGATTCTGACGTGATTTGGAACAAAGATACCGGGAAACTGCTTTGGTCTTGATGTCTGGAAGATGTATTTTTAGTGGAGTGATTGAGAGGTGGTTTATTCCACAGAATAAGACTGAAATGCCCTTGGCAACACTAAATGTCATTTTGTGTGTTGATATCTTTGTTTACTTTCAGGCTGGATTAGAAAGTGGTGACAATTTATCCTTTCAGCACGAGGGAGGAGAAGGGAGGTGCAGGCAGATGGAGCTGATGGGGAGGTTTGAATGCTCTGTGCTAAACCCTTTCCTCTCTCCCAGATGCCTGAGGAGCAAGCATTCAGTGTTCTGGTCAAAATCATGTTCGATTATGGACTCAGGGAACTTTTCAAACAGAACTTTGAAGATTTGCACTGCAAGTTCTATCAGCTGGAACGCCTCATGCAGGTGGGGCTGGGGCCTGGGGGGTGAGTGGGGCAGAGCTGCAGAATCCTGGGCTGCTCTCACGTGTGAACAGTGCTGGTCACCTCAGGGAGGGGGAGAGGTGGCTGTGCTGTGTCAGCCAGCACTGGCTGGGCCTGCTGAGCCAGGTGACAACGTCCTGCTGGGCATCCACGCCTGGACGAGCCTTTGGCATCCTTGGGAGGCCCCTGGGCACGTCAGGAATGGTGGGTGCAGAGCCCTGCCTTGCTGCACCGATTGTCACCCTACCTGCCTTCCCTCTGTAATTTGGGATTTCAGCTGCAGCCCCACATAGTGTGAATTAACTGTCAGCGTGTGTGTGTTTTATTCCCAGGAATACATTCCTGACCTGTATAACCACTTCCTGGACATCAGCCTTGAAGCACACATGTACGCTTCCCAGTGGTTCCTGACCCTCTTCACTGCAAAATTCCCTCTCTACATGGTCTTCCATATTATTGACTTGCTCCTGTGTGAGGTGTGTGTTGTAACTGGAGGCTTGCACAGCTCCCAGCTCCTGACAGTTTGTCACTGTGTTCGTGTCCTTGTTACTATCTGTTCTCTCGGAGCAGGGCGGGTGATGTTTTTATGTAAAGTGTTATATTTCTGCAATGAAAGGAGTTCTCAGCATTTCAGAGACTCGAATTAGGAGTCAATATCTCTATAAAAGATTATAATCTCCTATTTCCTGTAGCACTGTTGAATCTATGTGAGATGACTCTAAACAGTGCTCATGGGATGAGAGTTAATTTACAAATATGTGAATTCTTCTCAAATTGTGTTATACACAGTGATAACTTATTTTTTTCCTAGAATATTATTGCATAGAGGCCATTGGGTATAAAATTGCCCAGCTGGGCAACAAGCTTGGAGCTCTTTCTCCTGGGAAACTTGAAGTCCCTCCATATTTCCCAGCATATATTAGAGAGCAAAGTTCTTTACGTGGAGGTTTTGTCTGCAGTCATGTTCAGAGCAGTGTGCTTGGTCCTGTGCTGGTAAGCAGTGTAATTAGAGTCCGTGCTTATTAACAGCAGTGAACAAATCCCATCTTGCACTGAAGCATCCTTGAGTTCTTTAATGATTTGCTGGGTGACATTCCACATCCATTCTTCCTTGGATGTGCAGTTGTTCCTGTGAAGTGCCAGATTTCCTGCTTTTCCTCCACTGACAGGTCCCAGCATTCATAAACCTCGTGGTCAGTGTTCCTGCCCTTTCTCCGTGTCTGCTGCCTGCTTTGTCCGTGTGCCAGTGGAATAGGAAGCAGCAGATGGCATGGGGAAAGCGAGTTCAGTTTGTTTAGAAACACATTTTCAATTCGTAAATAGTAAATGTGCTCATAGGGAAGTTTTGAGGGTTTTTTTTTATCCTTGTAAAGTAATGGTGAAAGAATAATTCAGTGGGAAAGAGAAAGGCAGAATCCTGAAATAAGATGAGCAAAGTGTCACAATTATCAAAGGGACCCCTGGAGAAGGTGTGTGCTACTGCTGACTATGGGAACTGCTGGTATTTAATTGGACTGTGTAAATTAAGTGCTGGAAGGAGTAGTGGCAGAGTGGATGCCATGGGACTCATCCTGAAGTGAGTCACTTTGTTTCTCATGACACAAATTGTCCCAGGTTTGGGAGAGGAGAACTGGATGTGTTGGTGTATGTATTGCTGCATTTGAATTGGTGTTAGCAGAAGTTGCTATATGAAAATTAAATTATCTTGAGCTGGCCAAGTAGTCATTAAAAATAAATAAAAGCACAACAGTGCCTTCATCGTTTCAGACTAATGAGGAGATAGTAGAACTATGTTAATTGTTTTGCTCTCTGTAATGGCTCTCCAGTAAAGACACTTTCCCAGTTGTTTGCAAAGTCATTCTCTGGGCCTTTGATTTAACACAGCACTTGGTTACATGTGTATCCTCATTCTCCTTTTCACAGAAACTAGACAAACAACAAAACCCACCAAATAAATTCACACCCAGGCTTGTAGGTACTGAGAAATTAATTTATTTTGTCTTTCTTTCTTTTCCAGGGAATAAGTGTTATCTTTAACGTTGCACTGGGATTATTAAAAGTGAGTATACAGTGTTACTCTGCGGTTTATGCGTCATCATGGAAACATTCAGAATATAAAAAATTGAGATGCCAGTTACAAAAATGTGACGCTTTCATTTGAGAAGCCACCAACTGCCTGTGTTACACGTGCTGTGGCACGGCCTGTGCAGCACAGGGCTTTCCTGGGGGGGTGGATAGAAGGTTGCAGAAACAGAAACAACCACTCTTTGCAGAAGGTTAAGAAGAAGCAGGGATGTTTTCAGAGCTTTCCAAGGCTCTTGCCGCTTTATTGTCTCTGGGAATTCAGCAGCTGTACTGAACGGGCTGTTTCTGGTGTTTGTGTCCCTGCCTGCAGACCACCAAGGATGATTTGCTCCTGACTGACTTTGAGGGGGCTCTGAAGTTCTTCCGTGTGCAGCTGCCCAAGCGCTACCGCTCCGAGGAGAACGCCAAGAAGCTGATGGAGCTGGCCTGCAACATGAAGGTGAGTGCTGGTGGCACTGCAGGCTCCTCCCTGGGGACGAGCCCTGCCTCCAGCTGGAGCCCAGCAGCTCCCCTGTCCAAATGCAAATGCAGGTCAATTGGATGTGGTTGTGTGGGTTAGTTTGGAGTTAAATACACCGGTGTGGTTCCAAGTGCCCTTTCTCCTTCAGATTCACCAGAGGAGATCTTTGCAGCGTCAGTGTGGAATTACACAACTTCCACAGCATGTTAACACCCAAGGCAGCTTAGGATCCTGCTGTAGTGGCAGTGTGGACACCAGTATTCTGCCCAGAGTTCAAGCATATCTTTTATGAAACTAGTGTAGAAATTATAGCATAAGTGAGAATAAAGCTATTTTAGCTCTCACTCTAATTTAGCATCAGCCACAGATTAGATGTTGCATGTGCATCTGGTTCAGATCTCTCAGGCACATGGTGTGACTGTTGGGGGTGGTCCTGTGCAGGGTTCAGAGCTGGACTCGATGATCCTTGTGGGTCCACTCTGTCCAGCATATTCTCTGATTCTGTGATAATAAGTACATTTATCTTTTATGTTCCCAAATAACAACTTGTTCCTCTTCCCACTCTGCCAAAATTCCCTGTGTTCCCAGTGCTGTGTGCAGTGGTACAAGCAAACAGTCTCTGAGTGGACAGGGCAAGGTTGCCTGTGGATTCCTGGAGCTGTGAGGGTGGAGAATTAAAGGGGAGGGTGTGGAGGAAGCACAGACAGCACTGCTGGGCTCAGCACAGGTGCTGGACACTGCTGTGTCACAGCCCTGGGTGTTGCCTCTGATGGAAGTGCTGCACATAATTGCTTTCCTTGACCTAATACATAAGTCCTTTGCTGTCAGTAGAAATCTCCAGCTCTGAATCTGCAAGTGTTTTTTTTTTTGAGCAGAAAAGGGCCTGATGTCAAAATAAATAATTTATAGGAAGGGAGAAGTAGCCTGGCTAAGGCATTGTGATTAGAACAGCATTCTGCTGAAAGGAGGTCAGGAAAGGATCAGCCGGAGACAACAATGGATTCCTGAAGTCACTCATCTTTGTTGCCATCAAATCATGGAATCACAGAGTGGTTTGGGTTGGAGGGGACCTTAAAGACCATCTCCTTCCACCCCTGCCATGGGCAGGGACACCTTCCACTAGACCAGGTTGCTCCAAGCCCTGTCCAACCTGGCCTTGGACACTTCCAGGGATGGGGCAGCCACAGCTTCCCTGGGCAACAAATGTTAGCAGAGCTATGTTATCTGCCTCCTGTGCCCCTGAAAAGCTGTGGTGGGACTGCAGTGTCCATTTCTGCTTTCTCTGACCATGCAAACCACGAATCCTTCCCCAGGGCATGGATCTCACCAGTGCCTGGAATTGGTGACAGTGGCAAATCTTCCCAGGGTCACCTAAAAAGGGCAAATGCACTTAGTGCACTTGGAAAAGAAGATGAAAACGCAGTGGTGTGTCTGCCTCCCTCCTGTCTGCCACGGGTGGCTGCCTGACTCATCAAGATCTAACCTTTACACAGCTGGACATTTGGTGTGGGACACCCAAAGGCTTGGGCAGCGTTTGAGCAGAGGCAGAGCAGGAGAATAATCCACTCCAGCCTCTGGCTTCACTGGCAGGGAAGGGTTAATACTCTGGGGGGGCTGTCTGGGGTGCTTAGTAAGAAGAACTCCTGCAGTTGTGATGTGGTTGGACCAACTCCAGGCAGAGGGGGTGGCATCTCCAAAAGGGCCTCGTCCCAGGGGCCGTGAGGTGCTTCTGGTCAGCTCTCACTAGAGGGAGCCTGGCCACCAGCTTTGTGCAGCTCCTCTCCAGGAAGGCTCTTGGTGATGAAACCAGACACGTTTTCTGTTCTGCCTGTCGTTTATGCATGTAAAATTCAGCCTGTTTCTCACACAAGGGTTTTTTAACCCTTTTTTTAACCATTTATTTGGGTTACTGAAATAATACTAAAGGTTCAGTAGCAGCTTTTTAATGCTAGAGATTTCCTTTAGCTGCACAGTGAATGTGAAATGCCCACAGTGCCCTTGGCACGGTCCCTGTTGCTGAACCATTGTAGCACATGGCCCAGGTGACACCAGGGAAGGTGCTGGGCCTTGTCTTCCCTGGCCATGCAGGACTTGAGCACTGGGCCCCAAAAAATACTGAATTCAACATCACCTTTCTGTCCCTTCTCCCAGAAGGGGAAACTGGGGTCCTGAGAGAGTCCCTTTGGTGGGGTGGTGTCCATGGAGCCCAGGGCAGTGTTCCAGCTGCCCAGACCCCGCAGCAGGGCAGGGCAGGGCAGGGCAGGGCTCACTTCCTCGGAGCTTTGCTTGTCCAGACCCCTCAGCCACCCAGGGCTGTTTTCTGCTGAGCTTGAGTGACACTGGCAGAGATGTCAGCTGAGCCTGCACTTGCCCTTTCAGCATTTGCAGTCTCATGTTAAAGTAAACCAAATACCTCTGTGTGATGATAAATGTTGCAGCTGAAGGGGCCTCCGCAATCAGAAATTAAAGCTGGCTGGTGGGGTCCTGTTCTGCTGAGCCACTGCAGTGTGTGCAGAGCAGAGAGCTGGGGCAGGATGCTCTGGGTGCCTCTCCAAACCTTCCCTATATTCCCCGAAAGGATGAGAGGCAGAGATGCTGCTGGCATTTATATACTGAGTGGGATGGAGGTTCTGACCATCCCTGAGGGTTTGACACTCAGAGCTGGGCGATGCCATGAGTTGTGTTTTTTAGATGGCAGGACTTGCCTACAGCTGGTATCATAACCCTGTGTGAATTGTGATCTTTTATTGATGTTCTGGGCAGGAACTAATGGGCTGCTTTAATTTAGATTAGCCAGAAGAAGCTGAAGAAATATGAAAAGGAATATCATACCATGAGGGAGCAGCAAGCTCAACAGGAGGATCCTATAGAAAGATTTGAGGTAACATTTACCTTCTCCAGTCTGATTGAACAAACAGGAAGTTCCTATTTTGACTCCTTGGTTTTTTTGAGCTGTTTTTGTTTTATGACTGGTTTGGATGCAACAGGGGAATTGGCTCCATTAAAAGGAATCTGTACTGGCAACGTTAATCAGGATGGGGTAATTGTGAGCCCAGCTTTGTGCAAAAAGAGGAATAGTATGAATGTATATTTGGGGTTACAGAAGTGTTTCGGTAGAGCCTGTTTCTAGCACTTGTGTAACGTGCTGATTGCACCAAAACCCATGAACAGAAAGGAAATGCCTAATTAATTCTAGCTCTGCCTTCCGTGATTGTAATCCTGCCTTTACTCCTCTCCCTAGTTTCAAATGAGGTATGTTACAGTAAGTCTATCACTTTATGAGTAGTTCACTTATCAAATAAATATAATATAGGAAGAAGTTACACATATAAAGTTACATGTGTGTACAGTATTACAATAACACATGTACATAAATTTATGTATTTTAATCAGAAAAGTCTTATGTAAACTATTTAGGATCTGTCTGTGTGCTGGGAGTTGCAAGAGGAGGGAGAAAATAGAGTGTTTTTCCCAGGATGCTCTTCTCTCACCTGTTTCCAGCATGCAAATTCTATTTTGAGCCAAGAAAAGCAGCACTTGTAGGAAGCGCCTGGCAAGGTATCGATGGCAGAACGATACCCCTCCTATGCCAGGCTTCAAAACCATCTCTGTAGCTCAACAGGTCATAGCTGAGCAGACTTATTTCTGCCTGGTTTGTTCTCGAGGCCCTTTTGTTGATGGCTGTTGTGTGGTGTCCCCCAGAGGGAGAACCGGCGCCTGCAGGAGGCCAACATGAGGCTGGAGCAGGAGAACGACGACCTCGCGCACGAGCTGGTGACCAGCAAGATCGCCCTCAGGAAGGACCTGGACAACGTAAGACCTGTCTTAGTGCTGACTCCTGCAGATGAGGGCTGATTCCTTCTCGCTGGACAGGAGATACACGGAGGAGTTGTTGTTTGGGCGGGCCAGGATCCCTTCCTCCACGTCCTTGTTCTGCACTGACGATCAGGCCCAGGACACAAACCCTGATCAGCGTGCAGAGCGTTCCAAGTACTCTGAGGGGAAGGAGAGCTGCTGAGCCTGTGCTTGTGCCTTCCTCTCTCTGCATGTTCCAAGATAGTCTAGCAGGAGCCATGCCGAGTCTTTGAATTGTCACAGAGACAGTGACATGGGTGCTGGGTTCTGTTTTCCTGGGATTTTTATGAGTATGATTTCCCAGCAGACAGGCTTTGCAAGGTGCCTGAGAAACTGGAAAGGCTCAGTCTGTCTGGCTCAGTGTGGCTCAGGTTCTCAGGTACCTCGGGCAACTCTGAGAATGCTGTTGTGGTTTCCATTTGGCTTGTTGGAATCTGCCCGTGCGAACTCCCCCTCCTGGGCTGTTTCCATTTCAGGAGAGCTCTGAGGAGGAAACTTCAGGTTCCGTTTGTGTTACAGGAATTTTCTTTCAGCTTGCTGCCCCATTCCCTCCTTTACACATTGAGCATTTGGGGGATTTTATTATTTTATTATTTGGGGAGATATTCTTTTTCAACAGGACATGCAGAGACAGAAAGGTACTGGCACTGCCGGCAGGTGGAACACACTGAGTGTGTGAGGGGAGGTGAGGGGAAGAGTTCAAGTGCTCGTGTTTTGCCATTCTTGTTCTGTACCAAGAGAAGTGAATTTCTGAAATCTCAAAGGAAAATGACTTCTGAAAGTCACACAGTGCAGGAGTTGACAGGCTTTAAAATGTTCCTGTGTATCTGCCTCAGACAATTGAAGGTTTCCCACGGCCTCCTGGAAACTTGCTGTTGGAATAATATTCCTGTCCTAAATGTTGATGCCAGTGGGTGAATGCTGCTCCTAATGAGAGGTGGTTTATGACTGTCAGGTTTGTTGCAGTTGCTGCTCCTTGGGGCTCAGATGTGAATCACAGGAGTGTGTTCAGGAAGCTTTGGTGTGTTCATCTCCTCCTGCCTGGGCTTTTTCCCTTCATTAGTGATGCTTCTAGAAGGCTCTGCAGACTGCCCAGCACTGGCACTCAGGGAGTCAACTCCAGCAAAAAAATATCCTGAAGGAGCTTTTTCCTACCAGTTTTTAACAAACTGTTGTTTGTGGCTGCTTGAGCCTGTACGAGACACGGTTACACTTTCACGTTGTTTTGTTCAAATGGGGAGCTGGGAGGGGAACAAAATCAAACAAAATCTTTGTCATGCCTCACTGCATATATAACAGCCTTGTCTTCAAAGATGGTAAATGATGTTTGGCAGCATTTGGGTTATCCCCAGGGAGGACATAGGTAGGTTTGATCCTACTTTAGGGCCCTGATTAATTCTTTTAATTGGATCCTCAAATAAGTTTCTTTCTGCCAGCCCAATGTCCTGGAAGTACCGAAGGACATTGTTGAACACACCTTTTCTGATACCTTCATGGCATGTCTGAAATCTGCAACCTAAAAGATCAAAGCAAAGCATTTGGAAATACAAGAATTTCCTTAATATCCTTTCACTAGACCAGAAAATAGGCTTCGTATTTCTGCTGTGGTTGGGCTCCCACATCCCAGTTTGCTTTAACTTTAAAACAGCTTAAAATCCATCTATAATGAAAAGATGTTCTCTTTGCCTTTGCCATCTGTTTTAAAGGATCAGCAGGACTTTAAGGGACTAAAATTCACTTTTTGATTTTCTTCCTTTGAAGGGAATTGGTGCAGCTACTTTCTGAAGATTTTATATATCAGTTGAGTTATTGATCTATTTTTATGTAGAATCCATACACCTATTGGGAAGTGCTGTGTTGTGTGTATGAGACAGGAAGAGGTGTCTTAACTTTGCAGAGTTTTTAGTGGTTTATAAAGAGCCTGAAATTTTTCAATAATATATCTTTATTCTTAAAAAACTGCAGTAAAAGGGATTGATGGTTTCTGGTGGGACATTTCTTGAAGGAGGCAGGAGAGAGGGGCCTGGCTCTTCTGTTTGCCTTGGTAGCTCAGCTTTTTCATGCAGTATTTTCTGGGTGAGAGATGAATGATATCCATTGGCAGGTGCCACAGAATTCTGGGGGCTTTTTAAACCTTCTAGAGGCGTTTTTCATTAATTCTGTTTTCGTCACAAGGTTGAATGTTTGCAAATTGAACTTAGGGCTGAGCTGGTTATAGTCTTTTATCGATCCTGCACATTGTGAGCTGTGCTGTGCCTTTGGTTGTCTTCAAAATGTCTTGGTGAACTTCCAGTCTGGAATCAGAGAAAACACAGCTTACTTCTGTTACTGGATTTCTTGGGAGCAATCCCTACTCCAGTTTTGCTAAAACTAATCACTGAATTCAGGAAGTTTTGGAGTGATGGAATGTAAGTGCTGTTCACTGATCTTGATTTGTTGATGCTTTGCCATTGCAGATGGTAATTTTTAGGAAGATACTTTTCAGAATAAAGTTGTATTGTTTTTAATAACAGGGAGCCAAACCTTAATAAGACTGAAAGGGCTGCACTCCTGGCTCTGTGCTGGTGGAGGCACAGCAGGGAAGCCCCTCAGTGCTGACTCCACTCTGTGTTGCAGGCAGAGGAGAAGGCAGATGCCCTCAATAAGGAGCTGCTGATGACCAAGCAGAAGCTGATTGATGCAGAGGAAGAAAAGAGGCGCCTGGAGGAAGAATCCGCTCAGGTTGGGGGCATTTCTGCCACTTCCACTGCTCTGTACAGTACAGAAGTGATAAAAATAAAAAGTGACAAGTGTGGGAAGGGCTTAATGTTCTAAGTCATGTTTGTCCCTCTCTGTGGTGCAAAGGACGTCAGCAGAGCAGGATTCGGCGCCTCCCTGCCAGGTGGAATTTTTAACTCGGAATCACCAATCCCAGGCTGTGCCAGGGATGCTGCACAGAGAGGCAGTGCAGGGCTTCACTGTCAGCACTGTCAGCACTGCTGTAGTGATTCCTCCCTTACCCAGTCCGCTGCTGTGTCAGTGCTGGCCACCAAACCCAGCTTTTCCTGGCCCCCTGGAGCTGAGCTGGACCACTGGTCCCTGGTGCAGAGCAGAGCAGGGAGCTTAAGGAGGAGGAGGAGGAAATACCAGCTGGGTGTTTTTCAGACTGCAGCCATATAAACCCTCTATTTTCCATTTATTCTCCATGCAGCTGAAGGAAATGTGTCGTAGGGAACTCGATAAGGCAGAGTCCGAGATCAGAAAGAACAGCTCTATTATTGGTGACTACAAACAGGTGAGTACAACCTCAGGGTTTGCTGTCAGGGTGTGGCACCTTCCCAGGTATTTTAGGAGATTTCAGGGCATCCTTTTCCAATCAACTGGTAACAGCACCTAAGAAATAAAAAAGAAGATGCCATTTTCCTTTCAAAGATTTCCTTTGGTTTTCAAGGTCCCAATCACAAGGTACCAAGGGAGCAAACTGGGGGAAAAGGGAGAAAAATGTATCTTTTCAGTGGGCCCATAACAGGATTCAGGGAATGAATTGGGGTTTTTTACTACTCTATCTTGAAGGCCCATTTATCCCAAAGACAACAGAAAATGCCATGTTATTCTTAACCTTTTCTGGCTCCTTTAGCAAGGCCAAACTGCTAATAACTTACATTGAAATTGCACCTTTTCCTGTGGGAGTGGAGGAATATGTAGAGGATGGGAATACGTACAGTGAGAACAACTGAATGCAGCATCCCAATTTCCCTGGCTTTCTAAGAGTCCTCAGACTATCCATGTTAATATTGCAGTAGCATTTATTTGTGCTTTAGCATTCATTTGGGAGGAAATTTACATTTATAAATGGTCTGGTAACATAATTTTGCTTGTCAGATTTGTTCCCAGCTGAGCGAGCGACTGGAAAAGCAGCAAACAGCAAATAAAGCTGAAATTGAGAAAATCCGGGTAAGAGACCAGAGAGATGCACAGTCTGCAGTGTTTCAGTCTCCCAGCAAAGTCACACCAGCAAGCACACCATTTATTTCTTTACTAAAATGGTGGCTGCAAGAGGGTTCCTGCAGATAGGAGAAGGTTATAGGGGGGAGGTCTGGGAGTAAAGGTGAGTTAAGTGTCAGCCCTGTCCTGCTGTAGTGGTTACAGGATAATGCTGATGCTGGGCAATGATAACTGGTAATTTTTCTGAGGGTTTTTTTTTTCTGGAAGAGATTCTCTGTCTTTTACCTTAAAGCCACATGGGGTGGGATGAAGCCCACTATGGTAGCAAAGTAACAGAGCAGTCTCTCCAGAGCCCTCGAGGGGGGGGTGGGTGGCAGCAGTTCCTGCCTGGCTCTGCCTTCCCAAAGCTCCCGTGAGTGATCCCTGAGGTGCAGAGGCAGGAAGAGGCTTTGATCAGTCGGCTCACACCCAGGTGTTTGTTCAGCAAAAGGTGGATGACTGCGAGCACTGCCGGGAGTTCTTCAACAAGGAGGGCCGGGTGAAGGTGGCCAGCACTGCCAAGGACGGGTCGGACGAGGACACGGACGAGGAGAAGGAAACGCTGAAGAACCAGCTGAGGGAAATGGAGCTCGAGCTGGCCCAGACCAAACTGCAGCTTGTGGAGGCGGAATGTAAAATCCAGGTAATGCTCTGGAGGTTCGGTCTGTTGTCTGCACAGTGCGTCTGCATTCCTAGAAAAATGTGTGTGGGAATTGTAGAGGGGTTGGAACAGAGCCTGTTGGTTGAAACTGTAACCTGCTATTTCCTGCCTGTGCTGTTTAACCAAACACTGAGGCTGAAACTTGGTGTGTGCAGACAACATAATTGAAATTGCACGAACTGTATTTACCAGCTCCTACAACTTCCAGACATCTGCCTGTCTGCAGTGCAGCACTGACTGCCTGATCCCCTGCAACTGCTTGGAAGGGATCCAAGCTCTGACAGAGCACTGAATCACACGCTCCTTTATCTCGCAATCAGTGTTAAATGAAGAGCTAACATGTGACAAATGTTAGACATGTTTCTTAAAACACGATTGCAAAAGCACTCCAGGTACTTGAGGTATTTGTGTAAAACATGACAACACTGTTCTTTTAGCCAAAACCGGTGTGTCAGTGCTGCTTGTTCACAGAAAGGTAAAAATTAGTTTGTAGAAAGTCCACTTCCTGTGGGAGTAGCTCCTCCTCAGATGGGAGAGAATTAAAGAGTTTGGATGTACTGAAGAAAGGGGAATGTTTCACTAAGGGCAATAAGACAAGTCTTGTTTTGCTTTTCAAAGCTTTTTTTTCTCTCTCTTCATCAGCTTGTTTTGGGCTGCTTTTAACTTATGTAAGACTTGTTTGACTTGTAAAAGTGACGAAGAGATTGTAGATGTCCTAGAGCCTTCTGAGTTTGACTCTGTAGCCTTGTGCTGTGAATGCATAACAAATTAATGAAATTACTCCTGTGTTTGCAGGACTTGGAGCACCATCTGGGCCTGGCCCTGAATGAAGTGCAAGCTGCAAAGAAAACGTGGTTCAACAGAACAATAAGCTCTATAAAAACAGTGACTGGAGTCCAAGGCAAAGAGACTTGTTGAAAAGCAGCTCTGTCAAACACACCTTTTAACACAACACCTTTTGTTGCCTTCCTTGGCCAGTTGTTTAATTCTGTGACGTGAGAGGACCAGAATGTAAATAAAATAGAAACACAGCATGTCAGGATTTCAATAGGTCAGTGATAAAGAGGATGGAAACATGGGAGAGGTTTTATTGCTAGACATGGGTTGTTCATACTACTGATATTTAACAGGTGATGTAGCTAGATTGAAGCTCTTCAGAGAAACACTCCATTCTGCGTCTGGCTGGAGGCTTTTCACAGACTAGGTACGAGAACTTACCAAACCCTAATTGTTAAGTTTACATATGATAGGTTTTTTTACAGTTATAACCTTTTTTAATATTTTATTTGAAAGGAAAAGTGTCACTAACAAAGTAAAAAAAAAAAAAAAAAAAAAAAAAAAAAAAAAAAAAAAAAAAAAAAAAAAAAAAAAAAAAAAAAAAAAAAAAAAAAAAAAAAAAAAAAAGAAAAAAGAAAAAAAAAGGAAAAAAGGAAAAAATGCAATAGAAAAAAAGACAACTTTATCAAGAACTACATCAGTGCCAGAAAGCAGTCCCCAGAGGTAGGAAATGGAGAGTAGGAGGTGTCATGTTTTGCTTTATGAATGGGGATGATTTCAGCATTCCTGTCGAGCAACCCCACTTTGTTTTGGTAGATGTAGCATCCATCTCTCTGTGTTTGGCATTTCTTTCTGTTACTAATCAATTCTATGCAACTCTGGGCTTTCTTGGCATGGGCAGCCAAACTGATCCCCCACCGCAGGCTGGGAGGCTCGTGGAAGTGCTAGACAAGAGTAATCCGAACTGTCGGTGACTTTCCGTTTCACTCGTGTCATATTGTTTGACCCACATATCAGCAGCGTTACCCCCCCCCACCCACCCAGGACTGCTCAGAAGTACTAAGGATGTGGATGGTCTGACATGGAACTGAGTCTGTCTGGGTTTTGTCAGGTTTCTGTTCTGTTCCTCTTTGTTTGTTGTGACCCGGCTGTGGCGGGGCCTTCTGCGAAGCTCCCCCGGAGCTCGCGGGTTTTAGTTTTGCACATGGGTATGAATGGGACAAAGAAACAATAAACTGAGATATCTATGAGGCAGAAATCACAGCGTGGGTGTAGCTGCGAGCATCTCCAACTGTCCCCTCTCTTCCCTGGTGGTGCAGAGGGGGTGCAGGGGGTGCAGCTGCACCAATAGGTGCTAAACGTGCTTGGAGTCCTTATTCCTTGGATTGTATTGAGTTCTCACCAGAAAGCTGTAGAATGGAGTTTTGCACCTTGTAATTTTTTTTAATTTATAATGGTTTGTGTTATGCTGAAGTATCTATTGCATCAGTGGATAAATTTTGTGTGCAGTGTGAGTATAAGCTGGTAACAATAAGAGGCACTGGTTTGTATATAAAGATATTTGGTTTATTTTGTATTTCTACCTTTTTCTTGTTTACTGTACTAATGCTAGCTAATGTACTCTGTAACTACGGGATAGAACATGCTATGTCCAAGCTTTTTTCCTTAACTGCATACATTATCTCTATTGTTTAATACCAAAAAAAAAAAAATACTGTAACTCCATCAATATTAGATGCGTGGACATTGTGGTAGCATAGTTGCAGTGTGTATACTTTATGAATTGAAATATAAACTAGTAAAATTGTATAACTATTTTGTTGTTTCATTTCATTTGAACAGGAAGTTAATTAAATATTTTGCAATATAAAACTAATTCTCTCCTCAAAGTAGAAGCAGTAGCGTCTGCAGGCTTCTCCAAGACTGCAACTATAGTCATGCTGCAAAGGGCTTTGCTAAAAAAGACTGCATGTTCTAAGTGCTGCCAACACTGGTTTATATAATAAAATCTAGGGTTTGCTTTGAAAAAAGAAACTGCAAAATGACCTTGTGCAGCTTGAGACTTGTGACTCAGTATTTCTCAAACATGCCCAATTTAGAACTTTTTTTTTTTTTTTTTTCCACGGCCCTCCAAATTCTGCTTGAATCTGCAAAATAGATGTAGGCAAGCTCTGCTTACCATCATCGGTACCAGATTCTCCGTGGGGTCACGTGTGGTTCTTGTCCTCTCCCCAGGATTTCTGGCCCTAGCCCTGCCACTGGAGGCTGCACTAATTGGGTCAGGGGACAGCTCAGCTCCCCAGCTCCGTGTTCTGCCAGGAGAGCAAGGACTAAAGATGGATTTTTGTCACCCAAATGACCAAAGGTGACTCTGGAAGCAGCCCTGCTCTAGGAGGCTGTTGTGGTGCCACCTTTCCAGCCCTGCTTTTGCTTTAAGAGAACGGCATTGTGTGGCTGTGCGTGGTCTCTGCTGCTTTGTCTTTCCCAGAGGGACATCCCTTGGTAAGGTCAGCTCTGCAATTTCTCTATAATTACAACTTTTAATTAAAGTTTAAAGGTAAGTAGGGAGAGGGAGAAACAACCCAGAGCACTCCATCCACTTGTCTTCCTCAGAGGGACTGGGAAATAGTGTAACAGTGTGCTTTCCTCCAAAACTGAGGTACTTAGAGGGAGGGGAAAAGCTGCTTTATTGTTCAGATTTTTTCCCCTCTTAAAGTAAACATTACCTCCAGATTGCAGGCAGATATACTCCCCGTTTTAGTGTGGATGTGGGACACACGTAATTGCTTCCCAGCATTTCATCCGAAACATTTCATAGGCAGTTTCCAGCCATTATGGATTATTTTACATGCCTACCTGAAGGCTTTTGATGCACAGAACTGCCAAGGTATTTCACTCCATCTAAAATATCCACAACTAATCAAGAAAAATGGATTCTCTGCTGAGATGTGCATTTTTGAAGCACAATTACCTGGAATTGCACAGGGAAGCAGGTCAGTTTTAAGCTGAGGAAATTTGCAGATGTTCAAAACTAAGAATAAGCAAGGTGAAAAACCAGGGGCATTGAGTCAGAGCTGCTGTAAACCTCGAGTGTTTTACAGCCCTGTAAGTGAAAAGGAAAGAGTGCGTTTGGCACCATTTTTGGCATTAATGAGATGGTTACTTGCTGGTAGTCCATCACCTCTCAGCTCACATGTGCCTCTAAGCTGGGTTTGAGCACTGGACTGCGTTTAATCCCCCGTGCCCCAGGCTCCAGCCTCCACATGCTCTGCGTGTTTGTGCCGGATCGTTTAGTTCCGATGGGCTCAGTGTGGGAGCTCGGGTGTTACAATCTCATTTGTGTTGCAGAACTCCTTGGCTGCTCGAGGTCCGCAGCTGGAAGTGGATATTCAGGATCTGTCAGAAAGTTTTACCTTTAAGCATTGCTGGTAAGCCGTCCGGAAATTTATATAACTACCTCCCTGACTTTTTTTAGCTGCCCTTCTTATCCGTGGCAGCGATATAAAGTTCCTGTTATCAAGAGGAGGATTTCACTCCATCTGTTCAACAGCTTGGCTCGCGTTCATCCAGCCTAACTTTAGACACTTCGGAGGTGCTGAACGTTAAGAGCTTAATCCAGGGAGGTTTTCCAGCCCTGGGTGGGAGCGGGGACAGCACTGCTGGTGGATCACCGGGGCATGTGCCCCGTGCCCCGATGGATCAGGGAACCTCATGTGAGC